AGGACAATCGTATATGATCACTGCGTGATTATTCTGAAAAAATTTTTGTTTCCATCGAAGAAGATTGAGAAATATAAAAGATCTTAGAAGGAAAACTCAGTCGTAATTAGCCTATTCTAGCTTAGAAGTCTGCTTTCCTTCCGCTTTCAGAAAACATACAGCTTGCCAGGAAAAAGAGGGGTTTTTCCTGCTAAATAGAAATAGTTTTAGTCATTTTTTCAAGATTGTAGAATTTTTCTATAAAAAATTGTAGATTTTTGATATGAGCAGATAAGAGAGTCTCTAGCCATACATTGAATTACTCTTGTTGAAAGCTTCCATAACATATATAGCTTACCAAGAAAGAAAGGATTTTCCTGCATTGTGAAGGTGGTCGCAATCGTTCTTCTAAAATTAAGGATATTTTTTTAATAAAAATTCATAACTTTACTATACGAAAAGCTAGAAGAGTGCCTTGCACTCTATTGGAATCCCCTCGTCGTCCGCTTTCAGGAAATATATAGTTTGCCAGGAAAAAAGAGGATTTTCCTATCGGGTGAAAGGGGTCGCAGTCTATTTTCCGGAATTAAGCCAATTTTTAACTTAAAAAAATCATAACAATTTTATATGAGAAGCTGGGAGAGTGATTAGGTGTTTATTGAATTCCTCTCGTCGTCCGCTTTCAGAATGTATATAGGTTGTAGGGAGAGGGATGCTAAAAGTACGTGGTGAAAGGGGTGGGAACATGGTATAATGGAAATCTTCCTTTCTGTACTCAAAAAGCGTCGTTTTAAGGAGCTAAAGGAACATGCCCATTATACCATGTTCCCCCCCCCCCCCTTTCACCACGTACTTTTTGCATCCGTCTCCCAACAACCTATATATTTTCTGAAAGCGGACGACGAGAGAAATTCAATAAACACCTAATCACTCTCCCAGCTTCTCATATAAAATTGTTATGATTTTTTTAAGTTAAAAATTGGCTTAATTCCGGAAAATAGACTGCGACCCCTTTCACCCGATAGGAAAATCCTCTTTTTTCCTGGCAAACTATATATTTCCTGAAAGCGGACGACGAGGGGATTCCAATAGAGTGCAAGGCACTCTTCTAGCTTTTTGTATAGTAAAGTTATGAATTTTTATTAAAAAAATATCCTTAATTTTAGAAGAACGATTGCGACCACCTTCACAATGCAGGAAAATCCTTTCTTTCTTGGTAAGCTATATATGTTATGGAAGCTTTCAACAAGAGTAATTCAATGTATGGCTAGAGACTCTCTTATCTTCTCATATCAAAAATCTACAATTTTTTATAGAAAAATTCTACAATTTTGAAAAAATGACTAAAACTATTTCTATTTAGCAGGAAAAACCCCTCTTTTTTCTGGCAAGCTGTATGTTTTCTGAAAGCGGAAGGAAAGCAGACTTCTAAACTAGAATAGGCTAATTATGACTGAGTTTTCCTTCTAAGATCTTTTATATTTCTCAATCTTCTTCGATGAAAACAAAAATTTTTTCAGAATAATCACGCAGTGATCATATACGATTGTCCTTCTCCTCTTGTATAGTGCTCCAAGGTGGAAAAATGCATCTCTGGCTGCTTCCCTCATCCCTATCACACGATCCTCGTAGCTATAACATTTTGACAGTAAGTCTAACCCTGATTACACGAACTCTTCGATGTAGTAGGTGCCTCTGTTGCACCTGCTTCTCTACGCAAATGTTACGATCTCTTTCGGAGTTTAGAAATAATATTAAAAGTTGGAACAATGACTCTTTAAGGAATCATTCAATGACTTTACACGGATTCCGCCATCTGCTTAGAAAATTCATACCTCTTAAAAAGAATGCAATTTAACTGCGCACCGATCATCAAAGTTCATTTATTACTTCCTTATTATTTAAGCAAATAGTGAGTAATAACTGCATTGACGTATATACTCAAACTTCACGCGTAAATTTTTCTCCAGGCTTTTTCATCGTTCTCTAGAAGTGAACAATAGACGGCAAATTTCCGATGTACTTCTCAGTGAGCCTGCAGATAGGTTTTTGATGATCATATTAATGAAATTAGGAATTAAAATATTACTAAATTTAATTTAAATAATGTGGATAGTTTTATAATTTTGCTTAAAATGTTAATGTCTTAGTCTCACTTTTTCCAGTTCCTCATCGGCCGTGGGTGAAGGGGGGTCAGCTGGGTTCCGGCCCTGGGGTGAAGGGGGTAGGAACACATTATCGCCTTTTCACATGTATGATAAGGAGTCGATTGAAGAGCAGTGGAATCGGATTACTTCGCAGATACGGTCGAGGGCCGAGACAATCTTGGGAACCACCAAGCCAGGACGCCGGTTTGTAGACAAGCAGATCTGGTGGTGGTCTGAGTCAGTCCAGCAAGTGATCAAGGAGAAGAAAGAAGCTTTCAAAGCCTGGCAACGCTCACGCTCAAATGAAGATCTCCGTCGGTATCGAGAGCAGAACTCGAAGGCGAAGCACGCGGTAGCCGAAGCAAAGGAAGCTCACTACAAGAGACTTTACGACGAGCTGGAAGGACCTGCTGGAGCGAACAAGGTCTACCGGCTGGCCGCGGCACGACATCGAGCGAAGCAGGACATCGACCACGTCATGCACATTAAGGACGCAGAGGGCAACCTCCTGACGAAGCCGAGGGCAATACTCAAGCGGTGGAGTGAATACTACAAAGGGCTATTTAATGAGGAGTTCCCGCACCCGTTAATACCGCAAGGAGTCCCCACATATGGACCGGTATCCCGGATCGAGGAGGCAGAAGTTGTGCAGGCACTGAGGAAGATGTCTAGCGGAAAAGCTCCGGGACCCGACGACATACCTGCTGAAGTGTGGAAGATGATGGGGCAGCGTGGATCGGCATATCTCACATCGCTCTTTAATCGCATTATCGTAGACGGACAGTTGCCGCGAATCTGGACTACGAGTGTCACAGTCCCTATCTGGAAGGAAAAGGGCGACGTCAGCGACTGTTCAACATATCGACCAATACGCTTGCTATGCCACACGATGAAGATCTTCGAACGAGTCATCGACGCACGCATTCGAAGTATAGTGGAGGTCACCCCGAATCAATGTGGCTTTGTAAAAGGATCTGGCACCATCAACGCCATCCACGCGGTACGATTGCTAATGGAAAGGCATTCGGAGAAACGGATTCCGATTCACTTCGCATTCCTGGATTTAGAAAAGGCATTTGATCGGATACCGCACGGGCTGATCTGGTATGCGCTGAGGAAACACGACGTCCCAGAGGAGTACGTTCGCTGGATCAAACTCCTCTATACGAACACGACGGGCGCCATACGCTGTGCAGTGGGAACGTCAACGCCATTCCCAATCCAAGTCGGAGTACACCAAGGATCGGCTCTATCACCGCTTCTCTTTATACTGTGCATGGACACGGTGACCAAGGACATCCAGCTGCCGCATCCGTGGACGCTCCTTTACGCAGACGACGTCGAGCTAGCAAGCGGATCGAGACAAGAGCTTGAAGAGGCGACTGTGAGATGGAAGACACGATTAGCGGAGTATGGCCTACGACTGAACGTAGCAAAGACCGAGTACCTGGAATGCGGAGAGCAAACCGATGGCACAATTAGCATCGATGGGCAGCCGCTGAAGAAGGTCACGATATTCAAATACCTGGGCTCCCGAGTGACGTCAGATTGCGACACGATCACTGATGCTCGTGCTAGGACGAACGCGGCGTGGCTAAAATGGCGGCAAGTAACAGGAGTACTCTGCGACCGACGAATTCCGTTGTATCTCAAGTCGAAAGTATATCGGACTGTGGTGAGGCCAGTCGCACTGTATGGAGCCGAATGTTGGCCAGCAACCAGAAAACACGAGCAGATCCTGAGCACGATGGAGACGCGAATGATAAGATGGATACTGGGCCTAACGAGAAGAAACTGCGTCACGAACGATGATGTACGACACATTTTCGGAGTTGCACCTATCGCGGATAAGATGCGAGGTGCCAGATTAAGATGGTATGGTCACGTTTTACGAAGTGAAGATAATACAGTAGCAAAAACAGCACTTCGTCTAGATCCACAGGGGAAGAGACCACGTGGCCGTCCGAAGCAACGCTGGTTGGACACCATTCGAAACGACCTGCACATTGCAAAGCTCAAACCACAAGAAGCAGCTGATCGAGTCAAATGGAAGCAAAAATGCACCACCGCCGACCCTGCCCCCGCGGGACAATGGCGAAGATAAAGAAGAAGAAGAAGAAGAAGATAGGTATTGATTTTTAATCCAGTTGTATTTGAAGTAATGAAATTCTGCTGAACAAGAATATTATTACAAGTATAACAATTATCATTACATTTTGTGCCCTGAATATTAATACCAAAGTTCATTAGGTTGTATGTGCCGTTCACCTTAGATTTATGAAATGTGGAACCCTGAAAGTAAGAATTAGTATTTGCATTGGTTTTTGTAGATTTTTTAAGCCTAGATCTAAGGTACTGAATGGCCCAACCCAATACCAGAGGGAAGGTTACCTAACGGTTTTGGAAGGTTTGCTTCCTGGGGGCGGCACTCCCAAGGGTTAATAATATACCGGGGCGCAGCCACTTACCCTCCCGTGCCAGTGGCCACTTGTGTAACCCCATCGGTATATTATGTGCAAAAGTGCAAAAAAGAAAGTTAAAGGTGAGGTGCGAAAAAATAAATAAAATTAAACTACCTGGGACTAAGGTGATACAACCTGACCCCCTTATGTGTGATTTTCATGTGAAATTCAATAGTAATCTAAATCAGGGCTGTAATTTGAAAGATATTGCGCTATAACTATGAGTAAAGAGAAGGTACTCTAATGCTAATCGTAGATCAAAAACTTTTGGCTGAGTATCTGCGTATCACATGTCGAGTGGCCCAAAATTTTGCGAAACTGTTGTTAGTTTTGTCAAATCGTTACCTTTGTCTATGTCTATTACTTGTTTTGTTCATCCATGTTTTATAATATCATGTTTTGATTTCAGGTAATGGATCCAAAGGAGCGAGAAGAAAAGTATCAAGAAAATCTCCAAGGCCGTGTACTAGCGGAGTACGTAAGGATTTCAAATCTTCCCATAAGGATGAAAGCCGAATTCAGTCTAATGATAAACAGGATAATTGACATAGTTGGGTAAGTTTACCAGCATTTAAAGCATAAATACAGTAATGAATTTAATTTTTTAGTTACCGTGAGCACTTGCACGAGGATCCATACCCTTTAACTTGGCCAGAGCTAGCGGAATAGGAGCGAATTCAATGGCTATTTCGGTATGTTAGGAGAAGTAAACGATCTTTCTAAAATACCCTTATAGGTAAAAGTCACATATCCTTTCTGGACCTGGTTTACGACTGTAGGAAAAAATAACCTATCACGATACAATGCTGAGAATAATACACATATTTTGTTCGTCCAGGAAAAACAATGCGGCAGACGGACTTGAACAAACTTTGGTAAGTTAATGAAATTAACTAAGAAATGGAACTAACAATTATAAATGTTTAGTTTGTACTTACGAAACAAAATAAAATTGATGTACAACGCTAAAAATAAGAATCCTCCCGAAATGCGAGTGAGACGTGACAAACTGGAAATAAAAGGCGTGGGAGAGGTAAGTAATACAATATAACTAGTGTATTATTAGTAAAAGTTTATTTTAGTTCGATCCGTTATATTGAGCATGCGATTGGGGATCAACACCGAAGACTGGCAAGGATTGCCTCTTGAACAATTATTGGATATTCGTCTTCGTAAACAGAAGGAGGTAAGGTCTTTTTGGACAATGAATATGACATTAAAGGTATATCAATGTGAATACATTGAACAGGACGGTACACTAGCACTTGGCCCATTGAATCTTCCCGGGCTAGAGCCGGAAAAACCACAGGAAAAGGAGCCAGAGAAAGAAACGTGCATGAACGAAAAGGAAAATGGAAAGGAAAATGAAAATGAAGGAGCCGGAGTTTCTTATTCCCAAGCGGTAAGTTAACAGTATAGTAAACGACTTCATATTACTAATTTTGGTTTAGGTACGTGGAAAGAAAAGAAGCACTGATGAAGACGGCTTTGTGTTGCCACGAAAAGTGAAAAGGACCATGCAGGATAAAAATGTTAAATAGTGAACTCAAGTGTAAAAGGCTAGGAAAGTCACTTTTCTTTTTTCGAAAGCGTTTTGTGTTGCATTTTACTTGTTTGAAATTTCCACTCTTTCATGTTGTAAGAATGAATAGCTGTTCATGGTTTACTGCTAAATTTATATAAACGGTTTACTGAAAAGGTAAACCAATTCGTTCTGTTGTTCAATAAAATGTTATTGTTGACTGTACAAACACTAAAAGCTATCAATTGATAGCAAGACCAATTGGTCTAAGGAAAAGCCATTGGCTAGCAAGTAAAAACTTGCAGAACGGACTATAACTTACTGAGAATAATAGAGATATTCATAGTCCGTCTAGGTCTAGGTATCTTCTGGGTTTCCCTCATGAAGATACTTCAACCTAGATTGACAAATAACTAAATAATAATTTACCATAATGCCTGTTTCGCCTCTACCCCTATACAGGGTAACATGTAAATGTGAAACCACTCCCGAGGCTCTTCGTTAGGGAAGAGTGGTTAATAACATCAAATCAAAAAGGTTTGGTTTATATACATGTAGCGGGGAAGAGGGCGGGAAATCTGTAGATCAAAGGAACAACAGAAGCGTAATAGAGGAGAAAGAAATCAAAACAATTTATAGAATTAGAGCAGAAATGCTTGAAAAAGCCTGTACTTGAGCACTCCCATTATAAAAGTTTCACCCACCCTTCACCCGGCACTTTTTATAATGAAACCTAGGCAAAGTATATATTTTCTGAAAGCGGAGAACGAGATGGTTGCAACGGTGACCATTACGGCGTAAAAGATGTTCATCTACAAAAGTTATGAATTTTTTTATGTTAAAAACTCGAAAATCTTCAAAAATCACTAGGACACCCTTCACCCAGGCACTTTTTTAATCGACTCTAGGCAAAGTATATACTTTCTGAAAGCGGAAGACAAGACGGTTTCAATGGTGACTATCACGGCGTACAAGATGTTCATCTTCAGAAGTTACGGATTTTTCTATTTTAAAAACTCGTAAATATCCAGAAATCACTACCCACACTCTTCACCAGGCACTTTTTCAACAGACTCCAGGCAAACTATATATTCTCTGAATACGGAAGACAAGGTAGTTTTAGAAACATTTCCCTTGCTGACGTTGCTGTTCATCTATAGAAATTATGAATTTCTTCTTTGAAAAAATTCGCAAATGTTTAAAAATTGTCTAACCCTTTCCGAAACAAATGTTATCTCATGCACATCTTCTAGGGTAATTCCAAAAACAGGCAGGGTGATGCGAAGAAGGAAAAGGAAATGTTAAAAAAATGCAAGGTGCTTCAGAAATATAATTGCGTGCCTATCCAGCAGCGCATCGGTTCACATTCAGAAAAAAGATAACCAGTGATGGTAAGGAATAAATTATGAACTTTGACTAAGAAAAATGATGAGAAAACACCATGGCTCCCCCCCCGTCGACATTTTATAATTTCTCTACCAAGTGAAACACCCTTCACCCTGGAGAGGCCGCGACCACTGTGACCCCCTTCACCCTGGAGGAGTCATTCTCACCTTATCGCACCTGTGCTCTGAACACCTACGGCCAGGTGTGAAGTCTTGCACGTCCATGTCTTGTATACTGTGGAAGGGGGGAGGGCTTTTCATACAATTGCTCCCATATATCTTGACCTTTTGGCAACAATCCAATATTGATACTATACCAGATATGGGCCTGCTGGCTCCCTATCATGAAATACGAGTCACCCAGAACAGTTTTTGCAGTATCGCGAAATCAGGAAAGAAATTTTGAAGGCTGCATGAACTGAAAAGCATTTTGTTAAAAAATCTGTTTTTATTAGGTTGTAACAAAATTAATGCAGGTTTTGAATTCCAACCGCAATAAGTCATACACTCCTTATTTCTAACTAGGTTGCAAAGTACCATTCGATAGAGCAAAGCAAGCTCTACAAGAAGGCCATCTTGCCTTAGCAACAACTCTGATCCACCACGAGTTTCGAGCCAAAAACTAAAAAGATTCAACTGCCCGAAAAATTGAGAAAAATCGTAACTTAGTTCATAAAAAGCATACAAAAATTCTGACTTGCTCACGTAAACACTATTCACATGAGACATCTATATACGCCTTTGCCGTATTTTTTTCTCTGTTAGAAATCAAGTAAACGAAAATTTTCGTGCATTTGCCAAAGTGTTGCTGTGCCGTTCCCATATAAGTAGTTGTATACTACAAACCTGTAGAAGTATAAACGTGAATTTACAGCTCTCTACAAGCTTTAGGTCTCAAAAAATATCGAATACAGTTTTCGCTAGTCAAGTGGCCAAGCTAAAATTCAAGAGAACCAAAACTTGTAAAGAGCTGAAAGTCCACGTTTGTACTTCTATAGATGTGTAGTATACAACTACGTATGTGGGAACGGCACAGCATCACTTTGACAAACGCACAAAAATTTCCGTTTTCTTGATTTCTAACAGAGAAAAAATACGGCAAAGGCGTATATAGATGTCTTATGCGAATAGTGTTTACGTGAGCAAGTTAGAATTTTTGTAGGTTTTTTATGAACTAAGCTACGATTTTTCTCAATTTTTCGGGCAGCTGAATCTTTTTAGTTTTTGGCTCGAAACTCGTGGTGGATCAGAGTTGTTGCTAAAGCAAGATGGCCTTCTTGTAGAGCTTGCTTTGCTCTATCGAATGGTACTTTGCAAACTAGTTAGAAATAAGAAGTGTATGACTTATTGCGGTTGGAATATAAAACCTGCATTAATTTTGTTACAACCTAATAATTCAACACCGTAATATAGAAATAGCTGCCAAAAGTGATAGGAATTGACTGGAGGCAAAAATGTAGATCGCGTCTGTGCCAAAAAATAAACTAACATATGAAAGATCTTGCATCGCGCATGATGACTTCAAGTTTCTCTTTCCCGTCCTTGTGACCTGTCGTTTTGCACTTCTTGCAGAACCATAGCTTCGCTTTGCATTCCGCGGCAAAGTGAGCTTTACCACAGTTCCAGCATTCCAACTTCTTGGGTTCCTCCTTGCTTGTTGCTTCGAAATCTTCGTGCAACCAGCTACAGTCTCGCTATCCTTTTTGATAAAGAAGTTTTCGCACTCCACGTACAGTTCGTGTAGCGACATCTTTCGTCCAGCCTTGTACTCTTTGTCCAGTACGGCTATGAGTCGCTGCCTAATTTCTGCTTCTTTTTGGCTCTTCAGGCCAAAAATCCATAGTAAGCATTTTATGCCATCGCTGTCCAAGTCATGGATCTTCGCTTTTTCGCACAATTCTTTCACTCGACCGTGTATGAGGTAATCTTCGGAATCTGCCTTCTCCAGTTTCAGACACTGGTACCGCATAGTGAATTCCGAAATCTTCACGTCGAACAGCTGCTTCAATGTTTCGACGGTTCCTTCGAAATTAATCGAGGTTACCTCTTTTGGTAACACATGCCCCTGGTATTTTTCGAAACTTTCCTTGTCCAATTTCTCGCATAGCAGCCTCACCCTAGCACTCTCTGTGAGCTGCTTCGCATCTTCGACGAAGACTCCCTTGTAACGCGAGTACCATTTGCTGAAACATTCGTCCGCTTCTGGATCGAAGTAGAAATTTTCGATCCGATTGCTTAGTGCGGACATCATGTTCGGAATCTCCGTCGAACTGTTCTGGTTCGTACCTCCGATGTGCTTTAGGAACATCTCCATCATCTCCTTCCTTTCTTCTTTGATCGTCTCCTTGAAGACCATCATCATCTCCTGGACGCCCACTTTCGCCATGTCGATCGATCACTTCTGCTTCGTTTCAATACAAGACTTCGTCCTTCGGCTACTCTTCGGTAATAGCCGCACGTCCTGATCGCCACTGTTGTGTCCTTCAAACTTCGGACACACTTCGACTCTTCGTCCTGTGGGCAGCACAGGAGCAGGAAGGAATAATTTATTAGAAAATAATAGAACAGGAAAAATAATAGAGGCGATGAGCGAACTGGACGATAGAACTGTAGAACTGACTAAAGCAATGAGTGAGCGCCTTTTATAGCGCTCATTTCCAGCGCACTCTGAGGTTGCGATCGACTGCGCGAGGCAGATCACTATGAGGATCAGCACTAACGCAACAACAGGAAATCAAAGAAGAGAAAAAGATGCAAAACAAACAGCAAGAGCAGATTTTGAAAACCTGATAAAAAATGTTGCAGTCAGTTTGAAATCTTCTTAGGCGGCCTTTCGAAAACAGGTTTTCGTCCCAGGACCAGGCAATCCACAACATGAGGAGAACGAGGAAAAGCTAAGTAGTTCCTTCTTTGTGATTGGTTTGGAAACAAACACACAATAGACGCAGCCATTTGTCCACGGCAAATTCTACCGCAGTGTCGATACCGCAAAGGCACTATATTTACCGACAGATATACTCGGCTGCATAGTTCAAATGTATGGTTCAATATCAATTTCGGACTACTGTTCTGAGTTGACATTGTGTGGGGCATAGAACACGTGATTATTATCAAATACGTCATGGGCAGAAAGAGTAATGAGGGATGTGTGCTCTATTCTAGTGACGTAACTACTGGGATAACGCGGAACTACTGGACAACACTAGCCGTAAGGTGAACCCTACTGCCAAAGTTGAAGGGCTAGGGTTCCCCTGCCGACAACCACACGGATGATAATGCGCCAAAAAGCATGTGCTTGTCTGCCCAAATAGAGCTTAACGGCTGCAGTGGTAAAGGAACGATTAAGGCCTTGGACAAAGTCCACGCGATTTGATGGTCGCGATTCAGTCGATAAAAGGGTCGAACATGCTTCACGCGATCTCAGTCGCAACGCGATTTGGCAATTCGCCAGAAGTCTTCAAATCCAAAACTAGCAAACTGCATATGCATTGTGTGAATAACTTAAGTAGATTGATGATATGTCCTATCTTCTGAACATTTAAAATGTGCTTACAGTGAGTTTTGGACAACTGGAATATTGCCAAATCGCGTCGCGACCGAAATCGCTTGAAGTATGCCCGGCCCTAAAGACAAGAGTTACAAGTTCATTGCAAGCCGATCTTCTTGCATTTCGGTTCTGATAGTTTTCCAACACGCTAATCGTGACTAACTATCACAACAGAAATACAAGAAGGTCGGCATGCAAATGAATTTGTAACGCTTGTCTCGGGCGACTGAATCACGGCGGTCAAATCGCGTGAACTCTGCCCGGGGCCCAACGCCGATAGACTCAGTCTCGGCTGACTACTCGTGCGACATGCCAACCAAGTGTGATGAAGATCAGTAATGGATAAGAGTTGGGCCTATTGAGGGTACATGATCTGTCCGGTAGTGTCCCCTACTAACCATGTAGCCATTGGCCTTATCAGGGCGGAGGATACATGTCGCCGAAAGGAGGTGTCCCACGCAAAATCTGTAACAGAGCCAATGGTTACAGCTATGAGTAAGAGGCAATGATATCATATATTAACAACCTTTTGCTGGAAGGCGGGGCTTCGAGGCCCAATCAAGACTAAAGAATGATCAAAGAGCACGCGCGCGAGAGAGACGCAGAGTGCGTCGCGGGTGCAAGCGGTCGACTTCCAGCCGCCTTCGTTGAGTCAAAGGGTACCAACTGTTCGCGTGGAGTGGAGCCTATCGGCGACATAAGTCCCCTACCCGTCTTTTGGTCCCTCTATAATTGCTGCTACCTCCGCTGTGACATTTCTGCGGCACGAAAATGTATCATTATTCCCAAGAAACAGGAGCCCACTCTTCCTGCGTCTGATTGATAAGTTGATGAATGGGCTTTTAAGGCGTTTTGGTTGATCTACTTAGGATTGGAAGAACATGTTCGAGCTCATTGAACAACGCGAGCTCGGACATGCTCCTTCACGAATTTTTAATAGTGATTACCCAAAAAGCGTTAAAATGCACTAATAAACTTTTTAATCAGACGTGCGCAAACCGCGCTTGTGTCTTTTAGTCAGAAAATGGATCATATGCTCTACTTCACTTGATTCATTACTTGGACTTATGACGAAAAGCTTGATTCATTACTTGAACTTATGAGGGTCCGAACTATGTATCATTTTGAAAAGGACGACCTAATCTAGGTCGGTCTTATCAAAAACGACATATAAGATATATTAGGTTGTCCCGAAGGTTTTGTCGGATTTTTTCATCGCTCACCAAAATCGCAGAACATCAATCCATGAACGTCCTAGGTACCATTCTATTCAAATTTTTATCCTTTTTCTTACAGCTATATCCGCTTTTTGCTCTACCCCGTCTTTACGATGTTATCGCCATAGCTTTTTGAGCACCTCAGCAGTAACGCTAAATATTCCCTGAGTTTTGAAAACTTTTATCCTGATATTTTCGATGAGCACTGATGGCTGTTATATAGAGCAAACCCTATGCTACATTGCGCCTATTTTATATTACGTGGGCTACGTTTATCAAGTCTAACAATCGACCGCGGCTTTTTAGATACGTTTATCGCGTAAGATTACCGAAAATTCCAAAAAGCTGATTTTTGAAGCAAATCAAACTTGGTTGTGTCGCATAAGTAATGTTTGATAACAATCAAGTTTCAATACGCAGAAACTATAGAAGCTCTCATGTTTTTGCTACAGTTGCGTGTTTCATAACTTTGCCAAAAACCAAGGCCGCTGAAGAAATACTTTTTTGAAGTTGAAAACAGCAGATAAAGAGAATCTAAAATTATCTCCGTAAAGTCCTAGAATTGTTCTATTTGTGACATACTTAAACCTTTCCGAAACTTTGGGATGAAATTTTTTAGAATTAGCCTAACTTTAAGCAGATAAAAATGGCGGGTGAAGAATTGTGGCAATTATCAAAAAAAAAGCATGCGGAGTTGTGGTTCGAAAATGTAACCATTAGGAAGAGAAGGAAAAGCTGATCGAACGCATCTTGAAATTCATTTAGGTCTTTACTGTGCGTGGTTCTATAGCAGTTTGAAAAAACCGAGAAAACTTTCGGGACAACCTAATATTTAAAATCAGCTTCATACACTAAAATCAAATCCGTTGTCCACAGCTGCTTAGCATTATTCTGAACAGAGTTATGAGCTTTTTTAAAATATGCATGCTTATCTGTAGTCGTCCTCAGCCCAGTAGTCGCTAGACAATTCGAATTCGAACTAGAGCAGGCGGTGGCAGCAGACCGCGGCAGACGCTGCCTTCATTTTAAGCTAACACATGTGTTTTTTCTTATTTTGGTTGTCAGATGCTACTTCTTGTGTTTTAACAGAACGGTCGAAACTGACGACTTTGATGTGTTGAGCGTTGCTTCGTGCTTCTTCAACTTGTGTAGAGGTAAGGTTAGCGAGGCTTCCTCAGCCGCCCTCAGTGCATGCTTACACATGTTCTTTCCCTATTTTTCTTGCAGTATCTCATCTCACAAACGATGTTTGTTTAGAGTTGACGGTTGTTTTTGTTTGAGCGATTTTATAGACTAGTGTCTGGGATTCTTCAATTCTGTTTCAAAGTAAGCATGGAGGTACGATGCATGGATATTCGATGGCATAAATTTCACTGAAGCTACAGTTCAGCGCATGTAAATTATTGAAAAAAAAATGTACAAACAAAAACTTCTAAACTTTATCGCATCTTCAAGCTTACCTTAACTAAGAACTAAACAAGCGAGCATAAAAGTGCAAAACATTATCCAATTAAATCAAAAACGTCAATTCTGACCGTTCCACATTGTTAAAGGCAGTGTCTGGACAAGAACTCGATTTTTGAAAAACCAATTACCGGGGGTTAAAGGCAGTGTCCTGCAGATTCGGGTCCTGGGGGATAAGGTGTGGTGGGGTTCCTGGTCACCCCACCGACCTCCAGGCGCGGCTGGGTGATGTTTCCCCTGCACCGAGAAAAAGGCCCTTGAACCGGCGCGCGCTACTCCAATTGGCGTGCTCTTGTCTATTCGGCGCGGGACCCCACGAGCGTTCGCCGTCATTGTGTATGCTGTCCAAAGCAAAAATTACAGGCAGCAGGGTCTTCGTCTCCTACTTTCCTTCAAAAATCTAGTCCGAGCTGCTTTTTGGAATTATTATAGATAAACGCCCCAAAATCGGCCTTTTCGCCCGTTCAAAGCTCAAATTCGGGTTCCACATGGCGAAAAGGCCTGAAATATGCAAAAAAGGTGAAAGTGCAAAATCTGCCGGGACACTGCCTTTAACCGCAACGCTGAATCCGAAAATCCACATAAGAAGGCGCGAACGGCGAGAACAAGCGCCTTTCAAAGCCTTACAATTTGACGGTCCCCGCCAAGGCTCAGATGCGGAGTCGCTCCGGGACCCTACGATGACTGTAGCGGCATGCGTACTCTGGCGCATAGCAGGAATTCAAACAGGTCGACTTTCCCCGTTTCCCGGTCATTCTTCTTGCATTGGGTCGAACGTTATAACCTCATACTTGCGCGATGCTGAAAGGACCACTTTCGCATGACACTAAAATCCCAAAATCCTCACCTTGATCGGACACTGTCTTTGAACCACAGAAGTAGCGTCCGCGCTCTTCCAAGGCCGGCCTGTTCGCGTTTAAATTCGAATTCGTCCACTAAGCGACTTCAAAATATATCGTCTCTTCCACGCTGCTGCCTTTGGTCTGCGTCTCTGACCTGCGGCATGTATGGCTAACATGTTTGCAACATCCGACAACATGTTGGCAGAACATTTTGGCTATCAGCCTCAATGTCAACATGTTGTTCTATGTTGCCAACATATTGGCCACGCATACCGCAGGTCTGGGATTCAGACCAAGGGTAGCAGCAACTGTGGAAGGGACGATATGTGTTGTTTTCCAAAAAGACGATCTAAGTTAGGTATCTTCCCTTGTCAGAGAAAGAACAAGTTCAAGCCTGTTAATCACACCCCAAGTCTCAGGGTGGTTGATATATACTGAAGTGTGAATGCATAAAAAAATCCAACGAGCGGGTTGCTAGGCGCAATCTCTGGTCGAAGCGAGCGACGTCTGTCGTCCCGCCGAGCGCGACGGCGCCGAAAAGAGGCTGCAACGAACTCGGAGAGCGTTGGATATACAAGTGCGTCTGTGTGTATGTGTATGTGTGCGTGTGGGCAGACAGAAGCATCCAGTCGGCGGCTATCGACCGACACGCAACGCTCTGGCGTACTCCTCCGCCACTCACACATCTGCGCGTGTCCGGCGCCGGCTGCGTCTCTGCAGGCAACGTTCGCTCTCACGTGCACGTCTAGACGCGGCCGTCGTCTTCTCCAGCGTTCTCACAGACGAGCCAGCCACCGCGTAACCCAGCAGCAGACGATGGCCACCGTCACACAGGATGCAGCCTACGCCGTAGACCCTCTTCTCTATCGTCTACCGGAGTTCCCCTCAGGTATCGACCCGTCGACGATCACTCGATAATTGTCTCTCGGATCGATTTGTGCCATGCTTTCAGCTATTCCCATCGCGCCGACTCCAGCAATGAGTCCGTGTGATTCCGAGGGAATCGCTGCATGGATTACCATCAGCGGGTTAGTCATACATGGAACAAAATACTTGGAATCAAATCAAAATCAGTTATTTCTCAAATCTTCAGCAGAGTTCTTTTCTTGCTTGGTGATAATGCTGTTGACGTTCTGCTGTGTCAGCATAATCAAGAAGGGAAAAAAGCACTCAATCCTTGATATCTCCAGTCTGAGGTTTTTTAAGCAATGAAAAACTCAATCCTTTTTATCTCGTCTATGACTGCTTTTTATCTCGTCTAGGACTACTTTTTTGATGCAGAAAGAAAGAAAAGAGACTAATCTTTTTCTTACAAAAATCGTGCCGAATTGCATTACAAGTGCAGTGTGACTGTGTCTGCTAAGCTTTAGAATCGCACTCATGTTTTTTCTAATGCACATGACTGAAATTTCGTAAAACGGCTGAGGCATACCTCCAAACTGTTTGTGTCGCATAGTTTTGAAAAAAAATAGCTCATGAGTTAAAAGTTCTGCAGTAACTTTCTGTAAAGTTCCTCTGATGAGACTGGATTACATGCCATCTTCGTCGTTTGAGAAAAAATTTTTGCATTATACCCCTAGAAATTCAGAGTTGGGAGAGTGTATGGACGTGCCGCTGTCACAGACGGCACGGGACGGTCAGCCGGTTGTCAGCCAATCTCGCATGTAATCGCCATCAATTTTTTTCTCACAATGACTCCATAGGTTATCCGGATCTACGGTAGCGCATTCTTTGCCTGAGTATAAACACTATCTTTCTTAAGTTGTGCATATATGCTTGTCCGTAAAATTGTAATTTTTTTATTATGGCAAAATATGCGTACTGCGGACAGTTGCGCTGAACTGGCTGATACGCTATGGCGATAACGCTCCTCTAGTGAAAATGTGGTAGAGTTACGAGTTTTATTCTCTCCTAGTCATGCTGCGCGCAGTTCTAGTCAGTAAGGAGGCAGCATTTCTAATATAGGCGAAGTACCGCTAAGCGATGCAATATGTTCATCATGATCCTCTTTTTATTTGAATTCAGCGGAGAAAACCAGTGCATCCATTCACATAACGTTTTTGAGGAATGAGAAGATTCTGAATTTGCACGTAGCTGTCACTGACAGAAAAGGAAAGGAAAAAGAGAGAGAGTCAAAAACATGAAAAGCGCAGACGCACTTCAACGACATCTGAGATTTAAAAACGTCGTGCACAGCCGTCACGAGTCTGTCTATTGGCATCGAGAATTAGCGTGCTCCTCGACTTTTAAAAATTTTATGAGGTCGCAAATCCGAGGATTTCCATTTTTCAGTTTTTCTCGACCGCCTTGATTGACTGGAAAACATGGGAAACTAGTTGAAAACAACGTAGAATTCCCGATAGTCTTGAGCAGCGAATACCAGAAGCATTTTGAAGAATTTAGGTAATAGAAGGCTCAAAAAGATGTTGTATTACAAGCATACTCTGAATCGGCTCAATCCCCCTGTACGATCTGTTTCGTTTTTTTCAATCGGCGCATACTTTTTCTACCGCGTCCGTGCGCGTTTGACTTCTGTCTAATCAGTTTCATAGATCGGATAAAGGCGCGAAGCCATCGCGCTGCGAATGGGTAGCGGTGCTTAGAAGGGAATGTAAATTTGAACGATCATATGGCGCATGTATCTTGAAGTATGCATTACACTGCTATGCTTTTTGGTCACAAACGAAATCTACAACCCAAGTCACACCGTTCATACAGTACCAGTCGGTCGTGCAGTCGATGACAAACGTATTGATTTGCCACGCGTAATGATCAGGGCTCGACACGAGGTGGCTTTCCGAAAATGCAAAAAAAACGAAGTCGCCTTGACATTCCCAAAATTTTACAAAGTCCATTTGACCTTAGACCACAAACATAAAAAACTCTCAAAAACGAAGGTCGACCAAAAGAGAGTATTTTTCGGTTACAAAAACGATAACTCCCAAAAACGATATCTAGCTTGCCTGTAAGCCACCTGCGCCGAGCCCCGGTGATGATAACTTACTGGATGTATGGTTGGGAACTGCCAACGACAACTTATCTCCTTGGTGTCCGGATGTTCTTTTCATAGGAACCACCCGCTACATGCTTCTCGCGCCTTCGCGCCCCATATGGCTCTCGTTTCCAAACCAGTCAAAGATTGTTGCCTTTCTGTTAACGCGATAAGCTGTCTTGCGATATAACTGATCTCCCACGTTAGCAAATCTTCATTGAAAAATGCGCACTTCTTCACGTAGCATTGGTCTTGGAACATATCCTCTGAATTTCCCTAGTTTTGCCCTTTTTGCAAGAACAATGTTTCAAGATCTTGGTGAAAGCAAAGTTGATGCTGCCTATTATGCTTAAACTTTTGTTCTCTTTTTATATGACTGAAGAATAAATACAATCAATATTCTCTGCTCAGTCAAAAGATGTTTTGCAAGACTCCCTATGCACGTGCCATTCTTCGCTATGCATTTTGCCCAAGCAACAGACATCAGAGAACATTCGCCCTGAATTTGCGTCTGCAGCTTTATGCGCATTTTCAGACTTCGCGGCTCGAGCATGTGCACGGATGATAATATTGTAGATGTTTCATTTTGAATAGTTGTTTACAATGGAAACAAAGCAAAGTCTCATCTTTTTCGGTGTCTGCGTGACGTTGCTAAATCGATACTTGTCAGCTTACCTAGATACATTTAGAGAAATTTTGCTCAAATCCAAATCTCTAGGAAGTGTTTTCAGCGAACTGTGACAGTTGATGTCTCAATGTGCTTGTTTCAGAGGTGCCTTTCCTGCTATGGTGTTGGGCGGTGAGCCGCGCATTCCGCTCAACTTGCTCCTCAGCCGCGTTCTGATTTCACAAGGAGTCAGTGAGATACAAACCATGATGGGTGAGTTGTGGATCATACGGGGATCATAGAAGAAAACGCAGACAGAAAGATTTGCGCGAAATCAAATGCCATGCTTGAATGAGGTGGACTGCTTGCGACATGCGCGTCAAAAATGGCTATAGAGTGTAAGTCGTCATCGTTTACGCGCAAATATTGTCCTCAGTGCACGTACACTGTATCATCCGTGAAATTTACTGCGCTCTACCCACATATGCATCTTTTGAACACTGTTTAGTCTTATACAAACGAATTACTACGAATTGGCAGCGAATGAAGAAGTGCTAACAAATGAAATTTTAGATGATCTGAATATACACAAATCAATAGCCACAAGTGATCAAGCGGAACGTCTCCGTAAAATGGATTCGGAAATAACTCAGGATCTTGCCAGTTTGAACTTGGTGACTCGCACAGATGCGGAAAGAATATGTGGCATTGTACGAATAGAGAGTGATCCCGGTGCTGGAGCAGAATCTGAAGTGTAAGTAGATACTTTATGGGTGCATTTCTGTACTTTTTCTCATTCGACATCATCGCAGTCATTTTTATAATCATTTTTGACTTTTGGGTGCGACTCAAGAGTACGGAACGGTGCAATTTGGTAAACATGTGTTTTGGTAATTTGATTTTATATCTGATGTTGGGAGTCATTCATCGGGAAAGTTTTCTAGGAAACACGTTATCACGTTGTTTGATTGTTTTCGCATGAATTAGACATCGCACAATAAAAAATAGAAGATGGCGAGGCTGCAGCCTTTGGATCGCGATAACCTCATGCCTCGAACTGCACGAAAAAAGTTGTGATTTCTGTTTTTTCCTTGAAATCTCGTGTGGGATTCGGTCAGAATATTTATCCATATCGAGGCTGCTGTTGGGCTCTTCTTCTTGCGCTAGACTACAGTAGCAATTGTCTGTTTCTTGTAGCGTTCCCTGTCGAAGAACTTTTGAAACGAAAGTATATTGCGATGTCATCGAAGTGTTTTGCGCTAGTTTATGAAACGAACTTCTCAGTGTACGTTGGTTTTTTATCTGTAGAATTTGCTTCTCAGGGACGAATCCGAACGATTATGTGTGCAGCATCAACTGTTCGGAACTGTGAATGGATGGTTATATCCATCCAGAAAAGGCGGGCGAAGTATACGCTGTCGTGAATGCGAGTGCTTCTTCACGCCGGAGGACTTTGTCGCTCACTCACATACTGACAACAGAGAGTCACAGCGGTAGGTTCTTGTTTTGCTGCTCTTCATGGTTTCTGTAATGCAGCACTACCTTGTCTCGTTTGTGCAATGCCTATTCGCTATGCTGACTTTCTTTTCAAACCCCGAAATGCATCAGATCTTGCAGGGAGCACGATTGCAGAAATCACAAATTATACTCGGTGATGGGAAAATTGCTCCATTCTTCACTATCGTTGTTAAACCAAAAAAAAAGGTCGTCAATGATTCAAATAGAGCAGACATGATTTCTCCTAATTCGCTAAGCATCGGCATTATCTGTCTGCTATCAATTTTGGCAGTGCTCCAAGCACGTAGAACGGTATACTTGTTGCGAAAACATTGCTCTATGTCAGCAGTTACAGTCGTAAAACTTTTTTTCTGTGATGCGACTGACGGGAGTTTGTCATAGTGCACGCAGGGCTGTGTCTCATCCTTCGTAACACAAAACAACTCCAGCACTCACCTAATTTGGTAACTCTTTTATCGATTTTTGCGAACTTTTCAATGCGAAAAAGCCACTTTGACTCGTACATGCACGCTTGCGCCTATTTATGCAGGCCGAGCTCAACGCTTTGACGTCATCCGTCACTTTTCGTGTTTACTTGACATCGCACCGTTTTTCAGCTGATTGAATTTATTCAGCAAAATTGAGCCTCTACGTCTTTCTGTTTCTCACGTCAAATTGCAGAAATTACATCAATGTTTTCCAGCACGGTGCATTGGGGTTTCGATCCTGCCAATTGGCGCTTGATGCTGGAACTGGTGAAGCCATCCTCCGAGTCCGCTGCCTGTAAAGAACGATGGAAACAATTTATTGATGAAGGGAGCACTTGCTTACCGAAAGTGACGGAAGAGTGTAGCCTGCTGAAGAAAACGAAACGTGCTAGCATAAGCCAGGCTGAGGTCAGTTTTTTTCGCATCCTTCCCCTAGGTCGAATCAGTTTATTCAAAATCCTCAGTCTCCTTACTTTTCACATTCAGTCATTTCGAAATACGACTTGCAGGAGGTTCCCATCAAGATTGCGAGATCTACGGGTTTTTCGAGTATTGACGAGAAATCATTGACTGGTTCAAGCTATGCAGCATCTTCGTGTTCAATCAGTTCGCTTCCACGCGACGATCTGAATCGTTTATTTGGCTGTATTTCGATGGATCCGCTTGCAATGCTCACAGACACCATGCGAAAAGAGACTGCGTTCAAGTTAAAGGTAATTTGAGAGTTCTTTACACTTAGGGTGTCAGAAGGGTAAACCCATTCCTTTTTCTTTGGTATGTTTGTCATTTTCCAGAATGGATGGCTTTTCAACGAGTTTAGTCCTCTAGTTCATACTCATATGTGTACATAATAACTCGGTACAATCTGCGGCCAATTTTAGGAAGTTTTGGATTTTTTGTTTGCCCCTGCGAGAAGCAACAAAAATTACAGTAAGGAGGAAAAAAGATCTATGCGGCAAAACATGTCGCTTTGCGACCAGACAATCCTGTAGAAATGGCATTTGCCCTTTTACAAGTGCTGAATGCACTGTTTTTCTATCTCGCAAGCAACAGCAGGATGACAAGTTTTAGACAAATTTACAGGGCTTTACAACCTGAGTGTCACAGCCGCCCCGCTCGGCCGCCACGCTTAGGTCCGCGCAGCGTTCGTGGCGCTGGCTGCGCGTCGACTGAAGCTTGGCAAAAGCCCGGGCGATACGCCGCAAACGCCGCGCGCGGCCTGAGCGAGGCGGCCGCGTTGGAGGATCCGCGCAAGCGGAGGCTGTGACTCTTATGTTGAAAAGCCCTGTAAGTTTTCTTTGCATCAATCATCGCAGGAAAAACTTCGCAAACTATCATTTTTCTAATAAAACCATTTTTCTCAATATTGAATGTTTTAATGTAATTGTTTTGTCAATTATTTTTTCATCCTCATTGAATTGCAGTATCAAAAATCGTCCAAAGGTCTTTCGCTTCAAAAACCTATTCTATTGATAATTCGATGATGATGATTTCATGATAATTCGATAACTGCGCCTGCGAAGCTCTTTAGGTAAAATGGATGAATTCAAGGACGTCATAGCTCGATTTCGATCGACGATTCGTTTCACTTTTATCTCGTGATGAATTGATTTTTAAATTTGCTCTATTGTTAGACCTGTGATTTGGTGAAAATCGTGATCTTGAAGAACTTTGGGCTAAAGAAAATCATTAGCTCCTAGAGTGAAATATAGGTTATTGTTGCATCAAAAAATAGTTCCAACACAGTCATAGGTTTGCATTGCAGCGGTAGATTTGGATCAATGGGACCTCTTTGAGGCGGATCGCGCATGCTCGTTCCGAATTTTCCTCATCGCTTCTTAAAGGCAGTGGATCGGAAAAATGGACCTTTGTCATGTTTTGGTAATGTTAGGGACCCGTTACCCGTCATGATTCGCCGAGAAAAGCCCAAAAGCGCCCGAAAAAGCCCAAAGAAGCACAAAGGTGCCAGAAAGAGCCGGAACGCCCCCTTCCGCGCCCACGTTTTTGCCGCCAAGGCTGTGTATTGACTTCGCAGCCGAGTCTTTTTGTCCATTTTCTGCCGTCTGTGCATCAAAATAATGTCGGAATTCTACCAAAAGTTCCTTTATGGCGCTTTCGGGCTTTTTTGGGCATTTATTAGGCGCTTTTGGGCTTTTTTCGGCGAAATGACAGGTGCCTTAGGTAGTAGACCCCTCCCCCCCCCCCCCCCTCAAAGTACAGCGTAGCTCTAACCCCACCCTCCATTTCATACGCTAACTCCTGTAAAGGAGCTTCAAAGCTCCACCAGCCCCGCCCACTTCCATGAGTGGCGTCACTGGTGGAGTTTTGATGCGCTGTTCCAGGACTTAGCGCATGAATTGGATGGTGAGGTTGGGGATACGGTGTATTTGGGGAGTCTACTACATGAGATTACTAAAATCTGACGGTCATTTTTTCGAACCATTGCCTTCAGTTCATTACTATCTTGACGTATCCTGATTCGTCACTACTGGTTCTTTGCTGTTGTTGCCCAGTCATCAGCCCCATCCCATCATTGCCATTCAAGTGACTAATCTTGCAGTATATCTTTTTCGTCATCGTCTTGATTCACCATCCTTGCAGTATTTTCTCATGCAAGTTTTTACTGCCTACACAAAGACTTGCCTCTTTTTGCACATCTCCCGCTAATGAATTCTCAATTCTAATATGTTTTTGTCCACTAGACTTTCTATCGCTTATTTTTGTGACGCGTTGTCTTAGCAACTAGCAGCTGCAGAATATAATCAGATGATATCAAAAAGAGAGTGAGTCACCATTCTGTGCATGCTGCAAAATCTCTCACTAGCAAGAGCTTTTGGGAGATATCTCCAGTACTAACTCCAGCGCCGGACTTCTGCCTCATCTAACATCGTGCCAATATTCTGATTAATGGATGATGGGAAGAAGGGTGTATGTGTTGGTGTAATTCTACCAGTTTTTTGCTAGATGGCAAACACCAAGCAAGGTTTCGTTGAAAAGTTCATTGAGGTATGAGCATGTGTAAAAGGTCATACAGATGTTGCAATGGCGGAACGAGGGGGGGAAGGGGAGGGCGAGAATGGGTCGCGAAATTTTTGAAATTTACCTACATGGGTTATAAAAATGTGCAAGTGACTTGTTTATTTTTGTAAATAATTAAAATAATTTCTAAAATCTTTGAAAAGTTCAAATTAGCCGTGTAAAAGAAATTCCTTCATTTGGAAAAATTTTTTATCGCCCCCCCCCCCGTCCGAAATCCTGGGACCGCCACTGAGATGTTGAAGTTTGGAACAAGATCACTTTTAATGTAATAGTTCGGAAAGTTTTGTAAATGATTAAGTAGGAATTTGTTGTTATTTCAGTATTGCAAAGTATAGGCGGTTCATCGCAGGCGCAGACTGGACGTCGTCGTGTCCGGGTAAAGTAGTTCCTGTATGAGAGAGATAGCAGACAGTAAGAGCGCTGAAAAAGCGCTCGATCAAGGAGACGCTGATAGTGTCCGCAGTGACGCCTTGTATTTGCGTGCGGCCAATCAGTATAAGTGTTTCTGTACCTTTCTTTAATGGCAAACAAAGAACACCGCGCATACCGCCTGTAAGATCTTATCATTTTGTATAGGGGAGTCTGGGAGGGAAATTTGCTTGGCGTTCTTGGCACAAATGGAAGGAACTTTCCTCCGCACTAAAGATTAATAGCAAGTTTAACCTCTGTGCGGAGGTAAGTTTAGTCCAATTAATCCGGCCTTTGTATGCGTGATTTACTGCACGCAGAGACAGGCGCCACTGCGGACGCTGTTCGCGTCTCTGGGATCAAATGCACTGTCAGACTCTAACTGTCTGCTGTCTTCCCCCAACACTTACTATCTTGATCGGACGCAACGGCGTCCAGTCTTTGCTTGAGATGGATTGTCTATACCGCTCGACGCAGTGCGAAAAGTACACGCAGAGGGTGACTCATTTGGTGAGAGAATAAATCTGCTTATTTTCTGTATGGCAACATTACAGTCCTTCTCCGGTCTGCACGAAAAATCATCGCCTTCTGGATGTACACAGCTCGTTCCACTAGATCGTCTGCCACTCTCCGCGATTCCCGATCCAAGCACTTTTATGTTGATCGATGACAATATGATGCGAATTCGATCAAGCTGCGAGAAATTGGGTAAGTATTTGATAATGAAGCCCATTTTTCCTATAAGTTCCTATGAGTCCTTTTTCCTTCAGAGGCTCTTGAATTTGCATTGAAACAGTCGACAACAGCTGATCCAGCCATCATGGCTGCTATTCGAGACATAAGAGCCTCTTTATCACAGGTGTGGTTTCTTTCTTTTCTCTTATCTTGACTATTGAGGTATGTGAGTAGTGCATGGCTATTGTTTGTTAATTGATTGTCGTTATCCTTCCATTTTCTCAAGAAGCAAATTGGAAAGTTATCGAGTTTATCTTTGGGATTTTCTAAAATTGCTTGGACGACTACACGTAACAATTTGATTTAGTTTGAAGCTAATGTTCTCAAGTTTTCGATAAAATTGAAGGGGGGTAAAGGGTCAGTAGCTTATGCAAGACTACTGTAGTGGGCAGGTATTGCAAGATGTTGCTCTAAAAATTGATTTGCTCAGTTGTGTTCTTACGTCGAATCAGTATTCATGCGTTAAGGGCACTGGAGCAGAATACCAGCGACTTCGTAATGCTTACGAGTTCCTCTTTGCGCTGTTTCGTCAGTCGTGCGATCCACTTGGAAGCGCCAGCGATCCACTTTTGCGAGCAGCAGTAGCAAATCTACGGTCTGATCAACTCGCCCTTGGAGTTGCAATGACTAATCCGAAGCAATCTTTGAAGACCCGGCAGTACTCGGATTTCGTTCAGGTTGCTGTTTGAGCGTCTTTCATTATTCAGTGCTTCCTTCATTTGAACCATTCCAGCAACACATGAAATTAGCTGAGATGAGCCCAGTAGGAAATGGAGCAAAATTGCCCACTATGCCACCGCTGTCGGTTGCGGCTTCAGTGGCTCCGATGGATCCCCAGCTACTACAAAACCTTTTAGTACAACAACTCATGCATTTCGCATCTGCTCCGCAGTTGACACAATGACAGCCCACAGTTTTTGATTCTTTACTGCCATATGGGTGGTAGCATGAGTGTGGCTCGAGCCACTTTACTGGTAACTAAGTACTATTACAATGAAAATCTCTTGCTTCTCTATTCTCATTCCTTGTAGTCGTGTGGTTTTCTGTAGAACTTCATATTTTTATTGCCGGAATCACAAACGCAATCAAGTTGTTTATATCTATTGTATGTTACTTGATAACTTTAGCAGGGTATCTGTGATTGCGTATGTGAGAGTGGTTTATGAATCGATTTGTAATTCGTTCCACCAAAGTGTAAAGAAGTTGTGACAAGTAGGCTCCTGAAATGGTTCTTTTTGATACGTTCAAATTCTTGATTTTGATTGATTCCTTCAGTTGTTATCTTCTTACCTCAAACAGATTTCTATTGATTAGTACCATCGGAGTCGCTCCGTGCATTAGATCAGAGTTTATTGTGATGCGGTTTTAGTATTAGCATTATTGCTACCGTCTAGTCGAGTAATTCTGAATTATGGGTGTAGTCAAGGACAAAATCACAAGAAGAATAAATCTTTGTCTTTGATGGTGTTCTTTTTTGCGATGAATTGGTAACAGTTATATTCTACACAAATAAGTCGTCGACGCACTTTTTATTACTCGAATTTCAGTTCAAAGGTAGAGTTTGAAACTCTCAAGATGTATCACTTTAAGAGGATTAGGGTTCACGAACACGTGCGCGTTCCACTGAAATTGCGATAACTGTGAGTAAGTGACATTTATAGTTGCTGTTGTAAAATACTGATAAACATTGGATTATCAAACGCAGTGAAGCTGATGTAGAACTGTGTGGTCAACGTGAGGGTCTTTTGAAAATACTCTAGGCTTCGCCAACATGATGAACTCTTTGTCTGGTACCACTCTTCGAATTCTTTTTGACCATCTTAAAGTAATAAGTCCGCCTTTTTGACACGAAAAAACGATGAAAATCCGCCCTCGCCGCCAATAGTCTTGCAGATAAGTCCTCCCATCAGATAAGCCCACCTACAGATAAGTCCGGACTTATCTGACGGCGGGCTCATCTGTAGACGGACTTATCTGATGGGAGGACTTATCTGTGAGATTTTAAGGTACTCATTTTTGGGATGTTTGGACAAAGTATACACCTGCAACGTCTCCCTGATCAATCGCACTCTGAAATCTTCAAGGGAGTGGAATGTCATCTAGCCTTTGGGTCAAATAAGTGTGCATGATACGCCACACACCGAAGCATATAAAGGAATTCGGTCGACGACCGTCCCATTTCGTGCATTCATCTAGAATTCCAGCTTTACAACACGCTGCATCGTGAGGAGAGCTTGCGCATCGCACTATCTCTCTCCTATAACCTCCTCTGTTATTTACCATTTCTCGTTTTGTTTTCTTTTTGATTTTCATTCCATAACTTAGTCATCCCTCCCCTCGCCACGCGAGCCGCAGGTTCCGGACGCGCTCTGCCGTACGTAAAGCTTGAAAGGCTCCAAAAAGGCGCGCCCGCTGGTGTGAATGCACGAAAGGGGGCAGCCGTCGACGAATATCCTTGATTTATGTGTCTCATACTCAGGACTGAGCGTGAGGTCAGGCGCGCCCGATCTGGGAGGTCGTCTTGGGGTATGACTGAGGGGGGGGGGGTCGTAATTAAGAACCGAATCCGTTTAGTTGGGGAGATACTACGAAGGTGAAGAAGAAAGCGCTAGTCCGATGGATATCACTATCACCAGTACTGAAGGAATGACGGTCGTGAACAGCATACCGATTGTTTACACAATCGAAATTTCAGCCAAATTCAAGTCTTCATCTTTTACCTTCACACATCATGAGGCCGCCAAGTAAGCTTGCTGTGTGAAATGGGTATTATTTCCGTAATCAGCATGTCAAATTACCTCTATGAGCTCTAAAGTCATTACCTACCGCATTTCCTAGTGTTTCGCAACGTCTAGAAAGCGTGATTTTCAAACATGATTAACTTGGCTTCAAAAGTGAAAATAGTCAGCTTTTTTATACTCGTAACAAAGTATCGTTCCCTGCAAGTCTATGCTAGAAATCAGGCTTCATATCACTTTCAAATAGTGAAGTAAGAAGTGCTGCCAAATCTCCAACCGGCGCGTTCTTCACATTAAGTGCTTTAACTCTACGGATTACTACAAGGCCGAAACAAGTTGAAACAAGCTCAAACACTTATTGTGGAATCTACGAGAGTTGTGCTAGCGAATCACATAAAACTTGGATAGAAAAGCTTCCTCGAAAATAAAGTTAATGGGGTCAGGCGCAACCCCTCAAAAGGTCAGGCCGCCTGAGCTTTTGAGGGGTTGCGCCTGACCCCCTTAACTTACCTTCAATATTCAAAAATCGTTCCTTTTTTAGTATAAGTATTGAGAGCAAAGCCTCTTCTTGCTATATTGAAAATTTGGAGCCAAACACTCCACCCCCGCAAAAACTATAACTCTGAAAAGAGGGCTATCCAAGTTCAAAACTTGCCGTCAAGCTGCGTGTGGTTGTGCAATCGCAGAAAGTTGGGCCTGCTGCCAAAAAACAAGAACCCTCCAGTAAAGGCTGGTCTTCTTCAACATAACACAGTCTGAGGTCCTGGAGTTGAAGTGGAGGGGTCATTTTAGGGGCTTTCACAGGGGGGGGGGGGTCGTTTTTGAAGGACTAGTGCCTGACCTCTTGCTCAACCCTGGTTTGAAATCGGCAACTATCAGGGCATCTTTTTGATTTTCATTCCATAACTTAGTCATCCCTCCCCTCGCCACGCGAGCCGCAGGTTCCGGACCCGCTCTGCCGTACCTAAAGCTTGAAAGGCTCCAAAAAGGCGCGCCCGCTGGTGTGAATGCACGAAAGGGGGCAGCCGTCGACGAATATCCTTGATTTATGTGTCTCATACTTTTAAATCGGCAACTATCAGGGCAAATTTTCAAAGTAATGCGATAGCTAGGGCAATTGCTGAGATAGTGCTGACAAATTATCAACATCTTGACATATCTTCAATCAGCTATCTATGAAAAGGAACAAACTGATCAAGATATATGGAAGGCGGCTCCATAGGCGGTTCATAGCACGCAAAGACTGCGGACGTATCAGCATCTCTTCTATCGATCGCTCTTTCCTTTCTCTTACCATCAGCTGTCTCTGCTCTGCACGACCTATCTCGGCTGCACGCAACGGCGCTCAGTCTTTGCGTGTCATTAATCTATATGTATGGCTCATTTTTAAAATCGTGACAATGAGTTGACTGCGGTCTTTCCGCATACGGAAGGATAAAACACCCATACAAACAAGCAATATCTCAACACTAAGCTCAGACATTTCCAGTGCCTGATTACTATCATATGTAAGCAGAAAAACTGTAGTCGTCCTCACCCCACTAGTCGGTGGGCGGACGAATTCGAATTCGAACTGGAGCAGGCAGGTCGCGGCAGAGCACGGCACCTTAGCTCTCCGTTCAAATTCACGCATTCACTTTGCGTATTTCTTCGCCATTGCTTAGGTAGGTGCCAGAGTAAGCGAATATTTTGTTCAGGTTGGGGTCCCGCGCTCAGGGCTTTGCCTCGTGCGAGCGCGCCGCAATTTGGGGCTTCCGTGCGAGCGGCTAGCCCAAATGCAGGGGCGGAGCAAGCTTCCGTGCGAGCGCGCCGCTTGTCACACGAGAGGTCAGCCATTCTTTTCTGTGGTAGCTCGTGCACAACGCTGTTGACGGGTATTCACGTACTGTTTTTGGAAAAATAGGCACGGTATGTGGATCGCAGTTCTTCTTTTCGGTCTTTTTTAGTGTTTTACCATGTTGAAGTTTCTTATGGGAGTTAAAAGTTCTCACTAAAATCGTGCCAAATGTAAACTTTTGTTATGTTTGCCTTTGTTTCTTGTACATCCATTGATTTCTCATCCGATGTTTCTACTTTACTATTTCAGTGATTCAGTCTCTTAATATGACAGAAATCTTCGCACTTCATAACGATGTGTGACATCCTTCCTTCCTCAAGTGTGGTGACCTGATGGCTATCCAAACGGACGCTTCCATATTGATTAGCTCGGATGTTTAGTTGAATCCACTGGCACAACAGGTGGCCTTCTAGAATTCTTGTACGTTGTGATAAAGTATTTCCAGCAAGATGCAGAGACAAAACATGAGAGTCACCAACTGAAAGGTATTTGTTTTATGCTACTTTCTTTTCTTTGCTTATAAATGCGCTTTTTAGGCTCCGAGGAAGAAAGAACCAATGTCCTTGGTCACAGAATTCAAGTGGAAGCCGCAGACTGAACTGATTCAACATCATATTCATCACGCACGTATATCGAGAAAATTCTCAAGAGTACTGCTTCAGATTTAGTATGCAAGTCAATTTGTATTGTGTACGTGCCGTTCTTGTATACGGCATCTAGCAACTGTGCGATTGATTGTCTGTTCAGATAAAAAGAACAGAGTTTCTCAAGATACATACTTTGTAAATTTTGCTATGTCTCCTAGGTTATGCTCACTTGTTATAATGTAATGTTATAATGTTGTTATAGTAATGTTTTAAGGTTGACATAATATGTTATAATGTCCTTATTGTTAAAATGTTATAATGTTCCTGTGAATGCAGAAATAAATATTCAAAGTCATTGCTGGCACACTACCTATCACTACACATAAATAAGCAATGAAAATGCTCCAGAACAAGTATTCAAAACTTTTGGTACCGTGCGTGCGGCCACCCACCGCCAAGCGAGCGCGCCCTACACGCCGTGCGAGCGCGCCCCAATCGCCGGGCCACCCGAAAATCCGGCGCGCGCTCGACTGACCTTTGCGGCGCGCTCGCACGGTCCGAAGCTCTGAGCGCACTCACCATGCAGGCGTCAATCCAAGTGACGTCAATTCTGCGCGGGACCCCAACGAACAAAATATTCGCTTACTCTGGCACCTACCTTAGCAGTTTTTGTATTGTTACAACGTTTTTGACCTATATTGAGTTTTTGTAATTGCTGAGCGTTGTCTCCTGCCGCGCTCTGCCGTGACAGGCCTGCTCCAATTCAAATTTGAATTCGTCCACCGACCGACTAGTGGGGTGAGGGCGACTATACTTGAGTAGCGACAGAAACCAAGAATTGGGAGTGCGTGCGTGCTGCGCCCGGTTGCGCCATCGTCACGATTTTTCGAATGCCAATACGTATGTATGTATAGGCCGTCCGCGCAGGGCGCAGAGAGCGCGCAAGGTGTGTATTGCGCGTCACCTTTCCTAGTGCACTCTCGCCGTCTGCTTTTCTCTGCACTTCTTCCGGTCGTGAACTGCCTTCAATGTACGCAACAGCGTTGCTCTCCGTGCGCAGCGCGGAGACGGCCTATGTGTGTGTATACTTTGCTGCAAAGCAAGCCAGGTACATCATATAAAAAGGATATGCATAGATATGTGCACCTGCATTATCCCTCCGGAAATTAGAGAGTTACGAGTTTTGGTGATCGTCCTAGATGCTTTCACCAACTCTATTTAGGTAACAGGCTTAGCCCGGTGAGACCAAAGTTTGAGCCCTGTTCCAGTATTTTTACACTTAACTACTCCCTGCGAATTTCGGCGCTAATCTAGATTTACGTGCGCGTCGATCCTTGTTGACCGGTACCGCCTCTGAATCTTCTTCGTAGATTATGCTTCGGTTTGATCTAGAGAGATACTACGCTGATCACGAATATCGTACATTTCGCGTAGTGGTGCTTTTTAGAGCACATCATACATCTATGTAATAAAGTAGAAATCGCAAAACGCGATGAACACGAACATCGCTCTGATTCAGCCTAGTACGACTTTATAGTGGGTTTTTGAGATCCACGTTGCCTGAATGTTTTTGTACTCTCTCACTGTAAATCCACAAGAGGGCGTTGCGTCACGAACTACCGTAGCTCCTATTCTACTGAATGCAAGATGATCTTTTGGAAATTGCGCAATCCCTATAAAGCTTCGTTATCGGTCAATATCGACTTTTATCGATTTTTTTTGCAAATTTTGAGCCACGGAGCTGGGAGTTGGTGCAGGGTGTAAGTGAGCATGGCAAGTATACAATATTGGTTTCAGAAATTATCGGTTAGCTTTACCGATTTTAACGTTTTTTGCAGTATGAGCTATGGGGCCGGGACCTAACATAGTAACAAGTGAGCATGATGGTTACGAATACATAGCGGAGCAAGGGTACTGGCATATAGGGGTGGGACTGGTGCAGGAAAATGTTGTACGGCGGCATAGCATAAGTTCTATAAGTGTATTGACAAGCGCGGGTGGAACCGGGTATGTCAGCTAATTATACATGTGATTCTCGCACGTCTACATCCGATCGTCACACTTGCGTTCGTACATGAGCAAAAATATTTATGTTTAAGACCGTTAATGCATATCAATTACGGGAAGTAATGAAACCACATATCAAGGATAGTATCGATTGAAGTTTGAACCCGCATTGTAAGGTTTTTTGATACACTTTGTTAGGGATCCCTCGCACAAACCAAAATCTCAGCAAGAAGAGCTTTTAGCGAATCTTATGCAGGACTTATGACTATTGTTATATTATGATTGTACATGAAGGAAAAATTATTTTTACACTTAACTACTCCCTGCGAATTTCGGCGCTAATCTAGATTTACGTGCGCGTCGATCCTTGTTAACCGCATTGGCAGCAGCTCGTGCAGGCATCACAGGCGTCGTATAGTCAGTCGTGACATTGGCAGACACAGTCACAACTACATTTTGCTGTTGAGGTGGTTTTGCTGGGCCACTTGGCTGTTTACCACCTTTTCTTCGACGTGGTTGTCGTGATGGTAGCACAACCTAGATGTTTCATTTTGACGATGGCACCAAAACAGGGCAAACAGTAGTGAATTTGAATAAGAAAGGATTTGAAGGAATTTGAAAAAGAAAGGATTCGAAGAATGTTACCGAGGCAGGTTTCAGATCAGTGAGCTTTGGACTGCTATTGTGCACAGCGCGACTGGAACCAAAGAAGTCGTGTTTTGCTGGTTGTGGATCCACCGGTTGGAACAAAGGGTTCGTCACGTACTGACGTCCCTGTAGCACAAAGAAATACTTCTTTCACTATATTTTCTATAATCACTACGCACCTGTGGAGGTCTTCGCTGAGTACTTCCTCTAGGAGCAAAGTTACCTCGTCGAGGAACTGGAAAACTGTCTGAGCGCATACATCCCAATACTGGTGTGACATTCTGAGCAGCTGCAGACATAACTCTTGGTACTGCCTGTAAAAAGATAGACTATAATCTTGATTAACTATATGAAAGGTGTATACTTGCCTCCTTATTTTCGTCTGTCTGAGACACAGCGGCTGGAAATAATTTGGCTAAGGCATTTGTAGGCATCTGCTGCGCTGGAGTTGCATCTTCATGCTCAGCAGGTAAAGGAGAGGGTGTCGTCAAGTTTGCAACTATATCCTGAAGAAAGGCAAAATTCGTCGATACTGTTCGGGCGTAAAGTAATCCCCTCTAAGGGTTATGTAACTAATGCAGCTATACCATCGGCTCAAATGCGACCAAAAGTTTGCGTCGGAGATTTGAGCGGCATAAGTTTTTCCTCCCTGTATGTGGGAGCTAAGGGTTTGAGGGCGATGAAGAATAAACGAGAAAATTCGGAAAGTTGCAAAAATGAAAATAGGTGAGATGCGCATGCTTCCGATAGTAAAAAAACTGGAACGTCCACTCAAGCCTTTGGCACATCACGTATTGTGTTCTGGTTGTTACCAGCTGGAGAAGCAGATCACAACTCAAACAAAAATAGAGATACATCACTTACACTTTGTGCATTAATATCGCTTCTTCCACTTTTGAGACCTAGCATACGATTCAACTCATCTTCCATCTGCTGTTTCTGCAAATCGATTCGGGCTATGATGAAAAGCATAACAGAGCTAGATTTGATTGAAAAATCCACCCCCACGCTGCATGCAAGGCAAGCCCCAGCGAGGAGCATTTCGGAAGAGAAAGCAATGATGAGCCTGAGTATGCGCGAACAGGAACGAGCACCATCAAAGGTACTCGTGCCGCTTCGCGCATACTCAAGCCCAGCATTGCGACTCTGATTACATATTCAGATCCACCGCAGCAAATCAAAATAGGCTCACTGCGGAGAGCGCGTAAAAATTACACATTAAAGGCACCGCCAACGGGTCGATGAGATTTTGATGCCTAACAGCAGCCGGGCCCCAACTGTATACTTGCCCAATCGCGCCGTTGCTTACGAAGCGAGAAAATTGCTTCGAGAATCCCTTCAAATGACGGATTCGCCACGTTAACTCCTTCCCGAAAGTGAGCGAGACCTTCGTAAGGCCCATTCGTTCGTGCGCACCCAACCAATCACAATTCCGGTGATTTCCTCTTGCGGGTTCTGCGAAACGGGGATTGCCGGGGCTTTCGCGGATTCTCAACTTTGCTATTTCGAATCAAGGACGTGAGAAGGCTCCGGAATGACAGAAACATGGAAGTCGAGAAGTGGACCGTGCCTCTAAAGCACAGCAACAAAGAGACGATAACTGCTGTGTTCTGAATCTGCGCAAGAAAATCAAAGCAGCCTTGGCGAGCGAGATCACAAGATGAAACAGTTGCAGCCTATTGCGCATCTTCACAATAACAACCTATACGCAACCTCGTTTACGCTCTTATATGGCCAACATCTAAACTTTGTTCCATATTTGATAGGAAGTCGTCAATGCGCAGGATTGTTACTTCAATATACAACTTACTGAAACAGCGGGCGTATTAGACTGGCTGCACACATTCGTAGAAGATGATAGAGTGGTACTAGTTAGATCTTTCTCAGATGACTGTATCGACTTAGCGGCAGTTCCAGGTGGAGCAAGAGAGGAACAATCTGTAAAAAAGGAAAATAACGTTAATTCTTTTATATGCCGTTTGTCACGTACATATCAACAACGGCTAAATTCCAAAATAATAAGCGCAGGAAGAGTCAAGTTTACTAGAAAATTTGTATTTAATCTTAACACCGCTCATTTAGGATTTCCATTCCACAGTAAAAGAGAAGAATGGATTTGTCGAGTAAAGAACTCCTCCTCTGAGCACAGTCTTCGCGGATTACTAATACTCAAAGACAACGACGTCACAAAAGCCCAGCATCCCGCGGAGGCGGTACAGGATAGCGGACTGCGCCTAACAAAAAATCGTCAAGATCTCATGCAAAGCGAGACTTACCCATCACAGCGTGTTCCTCTTGAGACTTTTTTGCGAGCAAGGTGATAGGAGACTTGGCAGACGAAGTTTTGCCAGCTTCCTCCGCATTTTTTCGCAAAAGCATCATCATCTAAAATCATTGAAACCATAGCAGAAAAAGGCAACCCACACTTTAGCGTACCTTTCTTACAAGCTCCTGCTGCGTCTCTTTCCCAGTCGCCATGGGCATACTGGCATGGCTACTCTCGTTCGTGGTAGGTGAAGAAGCATTCAATACACTTCCAGAAGGCTGACTCAAAATAGCAGCAGTGCTAGAGGGAGTGGTAGTGGGCGTTTCTGTAATGTGATTAGCAGTGGCGTACCGAGGGCGAGGGGAGGGGCGGGGGGGGGGGTATAAAATTGTGAAAATGACTTGTCTGCACTTGTAAATAATTGAAATAATTTTTGAAATTTTTTCAAAATTCACTTTAGCCTTATAAAAAATTTTTTTTCGGGGGGAAGGGGGGGGGGGGGTTCTGAGCCCGCAAAAATTTTAAGGAGCATACCAAAAAAATTTTCGGACCTTCGACAAAATTTTTGTCGCCCCCCCCCCCCGCGAGCCGAAATCCTGGGTACGTCGCTGATGTTTAGACACAACAGAGCTGCAATAAATTTAGCTTCGTATGTAAGTCGTATGGTAAATGTTTAAATGGATGCATGCTGCAAAGAGTGCTTCCCGAAGGCGATTCCCAGATTTTGTGTTGACCGTTTGTGTAAGCTGCAAGCTTACTACATGACGTTAGAACTACAATAAGAACAAGCTTGTGTCTTTAGAAGTTGATATGCAAAACTAGGCAGCTCACCCACAAGCTGTTATTGTTTTTTTATGATGATGAAAACTTCGATTACAAGATCAGAAAGTGAGACAAACCTGTCACAGATTTCTCACTCCGAGGTTTTCTCGTGAGCAGGGTGAAAGGAGCATTAGCAAACGAAGTTTTGTTTGCTTCCGCTGCATTTTTTCGCAGAAGCATCATCATCTGAAACTGTTTGATTCCCAGCAGAAGAAAGACAAGAACGTAGCGCACCTTCCTACACCCTTCTCGCTGCTGCTCTTTCCCAGCTGAGAGACGTTTTTCTGCTTCCCCAAGAAGCGCTTCCGGCTTGCGTCCTTTTCTCTCTTTCGCGTACGTGATGTTAATGAGTGAAGTTTTGGGCACGCATGCGCCACTGTTCATAGCACCTCTGCAACTAACGCGTATGAAAAAAAAAACCATCAAAACAAAACAGAGACCATGTGGAAAACAAAACAAACAAAACTAGTGAATGCAAGGAAGTCGATTACCTCATTTTGTAACCACCGTTGAACTCATGATCGAATAGCACATCAACTTTTCCAGATGAGACTCCCACCACAGTACCTTGACATCCAAAAGGAACTGATCTTCCCTACAATAACAATACTATGGGTGTTGTCAAGCACAGATAGACTTCAACTAACCTGTATCGTGTAAACTACACGATCCAAAACATGAAAGTCAGCGTCCGGATCTGCGCAGCACTTTCCATCATATAACTCTGCCTAAACAACAAACTCAAAGGAGGGGTGAACTTCTTGCCCAATGTATTGATAGCGAATTTGCTTTCATTTTCAAGGAATGGCTGCCTGTGATGTGCTTCGAATGTCAGAAAAATATGATTCGTACAGGTCTCAACGGCGAGCGTAAGCTAACGGTTGCAGAACTAATAGAATTTAGTATAATGCACTTCTTAAAAATTTACGCTAATACTGTTTCCGTACAAAGAATCCTCTCTTTGAAAAAACCAGGTTTCCTCAACCCGAATGAAAACAGAAAAAACCTTCACTCACTTTGTAAAGGACGCTGGGGTTAATGGAACATTTTCTGAATCCCCAACGCTTTTTAGGAAGCTCCTTCAAAGCGTTTTCTATCTTGCCTGAAGCAGTTAAATCATTAAAGTAAATCTTCAGAGTGAAGCTTACCTATAATCAGACGATCAGCATACTGCTTCCCCCCTTCCTGTTTCTCTATGCCATTTGTGGGAACATTTGCAAGAAACTCCTTCAAATCAGCTACACGCTGCTATAAAGTAAAGCTATAAAGTTCGTGGAATAACATGATGGACGCGCACGTTGGTTACGTGAGTTACATCATGCTTACAAGGGAAGGCACTTTACTTAGGTCGGCCTTTTCAAGTGAGACACATATATCTAAAATGAGCTCGGAACGCTGATTCCAAATATGCTGTCCTTAGCTGCGAAGCGTTCTTCTGAAGCGATTTATGAGCTTTTTAGTATGTGTAATTGGCATATAACTGAATATGGAAAGAAGGCCTTTAGATGAAAATCTGCCCAAAAAGTGGTGGAAAATCAAATTAACATCAAATTGAGTCATTTGGCTTTGATGGGGTGTTGTATGCATTTGAACTACTACCTGGATGACGATACCGTAGCATGCCTAAGTCGGTCAGCACGCAAACTTTGCTCAGGAAAAAGCTCATAACTCGCTTTAGAGGAATGCTTCGCAGCTAAGGACAGCATATTTGGAATCACCGTTCTGAGCTGATTCTAAATATATGTGTCTCATTTAAAAAGGCCGACCTAAGTTAAGTGACTTCCCTTGTTAGATAAATTATTAGGTTGTAAAGAAGTTCCCGGGCACTTTTGGAAATTTCTTTTCAAACGCATTTTTTCGGCCCTCGGTCGGACTTTGACACCAAGTATTTTATACTGTTCAGTAGAGGGAAGCCTAAAGTTATCAACAAGCCTTCTGACTTTTATCGATGCCAAGACGTGTTTGATCTGCATGTCAAGAAGAGAAGTCTTTTCAACCAAAAATTCACAATTTTTCTTCCCACGGCCATTTTTTGTGCAATTCAAAGAATTTCGTCCAATTCAGGAGTGATTTGATTGAGAAGCCTGTTAGCTTCTGACCCGCAGCTGCACTCGAGTATTGCGCGTAATCAGAGATTTGGTTCTTTTTGTGCAGAACTAGAAATCTTCAAAGTCACTCGAAAAATGGTGAATTTTTACGGGGAAAAAATGGTCGATTTTACAAACTTTCTGAAGGAAATTTTTTTGCAGGTGGTCCTTTAAAAACATGAATGGTCCCCATAACAGCCCCTGCAGACCTCTATATAATTACAGCATCTGGCCTCTCCAGCTCTCATCATGCCTGAGATGATCCTGCACATACGGGCCACTTTTCGCGACGACCTTTTTCCCTTCTGTGCATGCTGATGGACCGCAGTGAGGTCTGAGAAGCCAGCAAGACAAATATATGTAGTGGACAAAATTGTCTTTGCAATGAACATAGCTTCAAAAAAGAACCAATCTGCTTGAAGTACAGCGAATTGAAAAAAATTTTCGCAAGTGCCCGGGAACTTTCTTTACAACCTAATACTTTGCCCACCTCACGTTTCTCCTCATTCGTCCAGATGTCGCTGGCTGAATATGCATCATCAACAGTATGCGACTTCTCTAGGAAAGCAAACAAATCACGAAACCTGAAAAGTCAATGGTTTGCTGAATTTCATCGTTCAGTTTACAAAAACAGCCTACTTGTTCCTATAGCTAGTGAGTAACTGAATACACAGTATCGAATATTGCCAGTACCCATTTTCAAGGCGACGAGTATAATCAGGAACCTAAAGAGTTTGACTTTTGCATCAATACAGCGTTCAATATGAAAAACTGAAAAATCAAAAAGGAAGGCAGAAAGACGTTTGAATCAGCTCTGTCGCATGCCAAGCTTGCTAGGAGGCTTATGCAGAAAAAATAAAAACTCACCGAGCAAAACCATTAGTCAATATACATACCTCCTGATTTCTTTTAGACAGCTTTAGTGATAATCCAATATTGATCTTCTCTTCAACTTTGCGAGCACCTTCCGCATTGTCATCTTTGGGTTTCTGTTCGTAGACAAGAAAGACAGTGCCAGTGATTCGTGACAAAAGGCGTCCGTCAACTGCAACATTGAGAACATCTCGGACAATACGGAGACAATTGAGTAAAACTATTAGCTATGTAATCCTTGTTCACTTTCGGTTAATCAGAGTTATCTTTGAGGTAGCTAGTGAAAAATTGTTGCTTTATGAGATTTTTTGGAAAGCCTTTAATGTGCACTCCCTTCCAGAGCTGCTGTTAAACGACTGCACACTCATATCACTGTAGGCTGAAGTTCCGCGAGCATGGCGCGCGCGGCCGCTGACTGCATGAGACATCAAGCCCCAATGCCAAACGTAGACGCAGGCCACTGATAGCCGCGAGCCAAGTATGCTCGCAGGCGTTCAGCCTAAAGCGAAATGTGCAACTTTGTGCACTTGATCATATCCCTGCTCCGTTTCTCTGACCTGTGGCACGTATGGCAACATGTTGGTAAAAAATTTGTATCAGCGATAGCACCAACACAATGATGCATGTTGCTAACTTGTTAACCACACCTTCCGCAGGCCAGAGACGCAGAGCAGGGATAGCAGCAATTGCGGAAGGGACGATATACAAAATCATTTCATATAATCATATATGTTGCACACACTGTCCAAATTTGCGTTCCCATCCCGCATTCTTGGAGGCAGACACCTTTTCAGGCAAGTATTTTTTGTGTTTTCCTTATGTTTTCTATCCTTTTTAAATAAGAGTCTCTTCAGGTGATGTAAGTGATAACAATCAGCCAGTCTATGCACATTGACCATATGAAGAGTCAACCGTACAAAATTGCAAAAAGGAGGAACAATATTTTTTCGAAAGCTAGCTATTCATAATCATGATGAAGCTAAAGACCCATTCGAAATGATTACAGGCTAGTGATTTTGCATACCTCCGATCTTGCGACCTGCATCGAAACTGTTCATCCATGGTAAACTGTATGCATTATATTCATTGCGCAAACCACACAAGTCTATTGTGGGCCAAATTGACACTGTTAGGCGAACCCTCCCTAAAAAAAATCCATTCACTAAGGTGACAACAACCGGCTTATTGTACAAAATTACCGTTGGGATCCACTGTGTCAACAAGTGCTGGATATCCAAATCCTTCCCAAGATGGTAGCATAGCGAATACCTGCGCATTAGAATAAGATATTAAAAAGAACAAATTAGAAATCTCAAAACAAAATGCACCTTGGAATGCTTCGGGTAGGCTTCCGAGACAGGGATATCTCGCAGGCTGACACCGCTATCGACTTTCACATTCTGAAGTTTTCAACTTGCTTTGAGAAAATACTGAAGAGCATACTCACCGTTACAAGAAGCGGAAGCAGAACAGGAACAACTGCTTGAGGTCCAACCCACTGTTTCTGTGGATGTAAGACACCTTGCTCAACTGCATAGGTAACACCGGCGAAATGACGAACAAAAGCAACAGCTTTTGCATTGTTGACATTGATAGCATAGCGTGAAAGCATTCTGAAAACATTGAAACAAATCAGTACCCAGAATCCCCAGTAACCCACCTTTCCTTTTGTGAAGTAAGCGTTGTTTTTAGTACTTCCTGCTCATTCTCATCAAGCGCAATTGCAGTCACCTCACCATCTTCTTGACGCGAGTACTTGTTGCCGTCAATCCAAAACGAGTCCACCAATCCAATCTAGAACAGAACTGCGTAAACAATGAAGTCTCGTTATCAAAGCGGAACTACCTTCAGCAAGGGCCAGTCGATGCAAACTTCCTTGCCAATATATTCTTTTGCCAATTCCAGACTTTCCTGGAGGAAGTATAATATAATGAAAAAGGTTGTTGGGCAACCATACAATCACTCATCACGCTTTTCACATTTTGAGATCGTATATGTCGCACATTGAGCGTGTAATTTCTACTTGCAGTGTTCAGGCATGCACAGGTACCACCTGGGAGTCTTATTAGCACACTAGGTGGTCTTAGTCAAGCCATTCACAGACGGCAGCTTACGAAATTCATTCTAGCCAAAAGATGCAATTCTGAACTCTAGTCCAGCCCCTACTCGAGAACGCTGCTTGGTCTCAGAGAGAGTGCGGTCTGGAAGTTCAAAGTCTTGGCCAGGATTGATCATAAAAATATAGCAAAAGCTATTGACTGAAGCATGAAATAACTATCCTCAATATTTTTCACACTCTATTGTTCGAAGTGCTGCACATGACATGTGCAGACAATCAATGCCCAAGATTCTGAAAACAAGGCTCAAAAGAGACACTTCGACTGCGCGCACAAGCAACAGTTGGAGTGATGCGACAATGAAAAGGAAAAGAATGATTTTTTTTGAAACTCACTTTCTCCAACTCCTCTCTTTTTCCAATACTCAAAACCATGGATGGACGCTTAGATTCTTGTTGAAAAACTTTGACGTTCACCTAAATGAAATATGTAGAACTAGCTGGCTTACCCGGCTCCGCCGTATCCGGACCAAACTTGACACACATACACTTCGGGCCCCGGCGGGTGTCACAGTCCACTTTTCGTTATCGATCGATGTCGATTTTACCGATTTTTATCATTTTCTTTGCAGAGTTCACCTACAGGGCTAGGAGTTGGCACAGGGGGGAAGTGAGCATGGGGATTCCGAATACAATATTAGTTTTCAGAATTATCGATTGCTTTTATTGATTTTATCGATTTTTTGGCAGAGTTCACCTACAGGGCTAGGAGTTGGCACAGGGGGGAAGTGAGCATGGGGATTCCGAATACAATATTAGTTTTCAGGATCGTCCATTACTTTTATCGATTTTATCGATTTTTTTGCAAAGTTTGACCTGCGGGGCTGGGAGTTTGCACAGAGGGTAATCGAGCATGCAGATTACGAATACAATATTAGTTTTCAAGATCGTCCATTACTTTTATCGATTTTATCGATTTTTTGAAAATTTGAGCTAGGGGGCTGGAATTTGGCACAGGGGTGTTCGAGCATGCTGATCACTCCCCTTGGGGATGATCAGCATGCTCGATTACCCCCCTATGCCAACTCCCAGCCCCCTAGCTCAAACTTTGCAAAAAATCGATAAAATCGATAAAAGTAATCGATAATCCTGAAAACCAATATTGTATTCGGAATCCCCATGCTCGATTACCCCCCTGTGCGAACTCCCAGCCCCGTAGCTCAAACTTTGCAAAAAAATCGATAAAATCGATAAAAGTAATCGATAATCCTGAAAACCAATATTGTATTCGGAATCCCCATGCTCGATTACCCCCCTGTGCCAACTCCCAGCCCCGTAGCTCAAACTTTGCAAAAAAATCGATAAAATCGATAAAAGTAATCGATAATCCTGAAAACCAATATTGTATTCGGAATCCCCATGCTCGATTACCCCCCTGTGCCAACTCCCAGCCCCGTAGGTGAACTCAGCAAAAAAATCGATAAAAATCGATAAAATCGATATCGATCGATAACGAAAAGTAGCCTATGACACCCGCCGGGGCCCGAAGTGTATGTGTGCCAAGTTTGGTCCGGATCGGTTCAGAAATGGAATTTTCTATTCGGAACATACGTACACACATACATACAGACAGACAGACATACAGACAAACAGACATTCAGCTTTATATATAAGATAAAACTGGCATACAGAATGCCATACTTGTTTGAGTTCGGCTGTATGAGGAAGATGTTTCATGGTCGGAAATCCTGGGAAAAACACATCGAGTTTCACATTTGATAGTAATCCCCATTTGACTTCCGATGATTCCAAGTGGAATGTGTCCACTGGCAGTTGTGTCTTTCTATAACAACGAAGAGTCCGACATTGATAATTCCTAGAATGAGATTTCTCACAGTGGTGTCAGCGCCTCGCACTTGAAAAGAAGGATACTGCCTATAGCATTTCTGGCATTTTCCGCTGGAGTAAGCAACGGCATCTGCAAGAAAAAGAAGGGAAATGATAGCATACCTTTGACTATGACAGAACTCACTTTGGTTTTTACGGCATCAAGAAGCCTAGCTTCGTCAATGAATGGGATGAGTACCACTGCCTCCCAATCATTCTTCTTTCCATTCAGATCAGTGCGAAAATCAGTTGGATAGAAGTCAGCAATGGGTGAGTCCTTATCACACATCAAATCCTGAGATCAGTATACTTGTTATGAATGGCCTCATGACCTTGGAAATTTACAAATTGAGCGTATAGTTCATAAATACTGCGGCTTTATATCCGCCTTTTACCTACGATTATATGCATATTTTCTTACAAAAAAAAAACGCTAGAAGCTTTTGACAAAGTAAGAAAGCAGTGAGAGAAGCCCTCCAAGGCCAGATAAAACAATAATGCGATCTAGTTTAACCGCTCAAATAAAAAGGCTTAATCAAACCGGGAGGCGCATGAAAACTTGAAAAGCTCACTATTGAATACTCCCTGACTTTTCGGTCAAATGAGTAAGCCAATTCTAACAAAAAAAAACATACCCTAAAAGGTGGTGGAAGACATTCGGCGCTAGCGGAAGGAAGAACGGCTAGAAGCTGTTCAAATGGCTTGAAAGGTTCGCCCAGTTCAAAATTCATATCCACGTTCGAAAAGTCCACCACATCCGAGATATACGGTGAATAGTGGTGGGGGTAAAACCTGAACAACACGACCATTTGAAGGGGCATTGTAGTGATTAAGAAAAGGCCAACCAGTTCCAAGAAACACATCCTTTGTAGTAGTAATGCAAGTTCCATTGTATTGCCCTTACATATCCTTCAGCTTGCTGTCGAAGCTCAGCCTTGGTTATGTTCTCATACCTGGAAAAACCAATTGTTAGTAACCTTGTACATGCCAATCCGTTCCATTTTCGCCAATTTTTGAAGTCAACAATGGCTGAACATTTCCTTTTTATTTTTCATAAGTGCAAGTTAAATGCTGTTCCAAATGTATTCCGATTCCAGAAACTTCGAGGTAGTGCGAATTTACATCCGCACGAAAGATGGTCGTTTTGCAATCATCTTATTGATCTTATTTGGCTGAAATATGGCACTTCCAAAGTCATTATAGCGACCAGACAAACCAGAACTTTCTGCTCTTAGGTAGGTGCCAGAGTAAGCGAATATTTTGTTCAGGTTGGGGTCCCGCGCAGAATGGACGTCACTCAGCTTACTCTGGCACCTACCTTACTAGTTAACCAGCAATTCAAGGTGCTAGTAGCATGCGCGCGCTATGGGACCGCCACGTGGTTTCCCGCTATGTGCGCATTTTTGAATTGCGCTCACGATTCTTTATATATTAGATTACCCGCGGCTAGAAAATTTGCGCTCCCATCACATTCAGGGCAAACACGCACGCCGTTTGCGTCACCTCAAATCGGGGAACGGATCTTACCTACCCGGAAAACTTGTCGCAACGTAGCCATGAGCTACAGAGCTGTCAGTTACGCATTCAACACCTAATTAGCATCGTAGGCAGTGATATGTGCATAAAGTAGTATCAGCCTGATGCATCAAAGTATGAAAACGCGATTTCGATCTATTCGAACTCAAGGTTTAGTGGAGATATTCATCCATTTAGCGTGAAAACTGGCATCTAGGGGTTTTCCATCACGCTTTTCCCGAGTGTTCCTGAATAGTGTTATAAAGAGAACTTTGGACTCAATATTTTTTGAAACGTGTAGCAGAAGCACTCGTAATCGGGAACAGCGTGAGGGAAAAACCTAGACACCAGTTTTCAAACAAATACCGTAACTGAACTTTGAGTTCGAATTTGAATCGAAATCGCGTTTTCATACTTTGCTGGATCAGGGCTGAGACTACTGTGTGCACAGTTCACTCTGCCTACGTTGCTAACTGTTTAATGCGTAATTGACAGCTCATATAGCCTATAGCTAAGTGCGGCAAGTCTTTCGGGTAGGTAAGTTTCTTCACCCCCTCAAATGTAATGCACGACGACTTATTTACATTTCCACAAAGAGCTAATCAGCTAACTTCATCTTCTCACGATAATAGAGTCGTTTATGTCGTCGAAATGAGTTGCTGACTGTCTTTGTCCAACAGTTCTAGAATGAGGTGACGATAGGTTGATGGTTACGATTTACTTGACAAACCTCGACGTCGTTTTCAAATTCTTTGTCGTCCATTTCTCTTAGTTCAGCCGCCATAAGGGCATCAAAATCATCACCTCCAGTATCGGATTCTTGAGCGTATTCAGTTAAGTGGGATGATGTAAAGTTTGGAACGAACCAGTCTTCAAGCGTGACAACAAGTCAGCAGCCGACTCGACACCTCCATCAGGAAGCTCTTCGTCGATATCTTCGCTATCCGACTCATCCTCATCGCTGCTTATAAAAGCTGCTTCATCATCAGATGATAGCTCCGCTGGCTCAGCGCTGTCACTTGCTTCATTGCCTGGAGCTTTCTCGTCATCAACTTTCCCGTCAGTCTCCTCCTCCTTCTAAACGATTTAGTATCAGTATAATCGACCAGTTTGCAGAACTTGTAAAAGCAACAGAAACCAAGCAGATCAATTTCTGCCAGCAATTTGTAAGAAAGAATAAACCTAATACGTTATGTAATCATAACTAAAAATGAAACTAATGCTCCGAAACTCTACCGTGAAAAGTCCATGCGGATCTCGACCCGTTTTACTACGTAGAAAACTTTCGTCTTCTAGGGTTTGCAGAAAATGACGACGATCGTTAGCAGCGAAAGCTTTCAGAAATATTTCGAACCGTTCTAGATTCAAGACGCCCGATTCATTGATGTAACCTGTAAAAAAGTGACGGATGTAAAATAAAGAGACTACTTCACTATTAAAGGATCAATGCAAAAAGAATAACATAATCTTAGTCCAAACCTTTCATTTAAAAGAGTTTGAAAAGAAACTTGATAGCTTACGATATAATTCTTGGAACTGCAGAAAGATACGGTCACACCGTAATTACCCTAATTTTACGAGTACAGGACTCTAATACCGAACAGCACAGACACGCCGAAGGACTTTGCGACCAAAAATATACAATGCTGAGAGATGCCTGAGAGTATCGTGCGGCATGAATCTCGTTTTTCGAAATACAGCGGTGGGGTTGAGCGGCTCGTTCAAAAAATCGAAAAAGGTGCGTCCTATACTCGTGAAATTAGAGTACAAGGTAAGATCTCACCTTTCAGAGTGGGGAGAACTTGTATGTAAGTCTTGTACAGTAGTGGCAGTGCGTCATCATGTATATGAACATAAGGTAAATGAGGAATGAAGTCATTACCAATAAGAAAACCCATTAGCACCCAGTCATCTATAATCCGCTCCATATCGTAAGGAAATGGCAGTGTAGCCTGAAGCAAGATTCAATTTATAGTTTCATTCAAAAGAAGCACAAATTGAAAGAAAATTATAAACCTTCAGTGGATAGAACTCCCATGAAAGATACTCTCTCAGTAAAGAAAGATGTAGGAGGTGGAAATTGATTTGCGAAGGGTTAACCCTGAAGCTGTTGAAGTGACATTTGTAAAGATCAGAACAAAACTATATACCTCTTAGGATTCGAAGATGAGCTTTTGGGAGGTCGAGTGAACTTCACTTCCTCTCGTAAGAGAGAGAAATGAGGCTCGTGCGAACATATTCCCAACATTAACTAGCGAAAAAAGGCTATACAACACACAGAATAGCAGCGGTTAGAACTTACGAGATCAGCGTCAAGTCCATACATACAATGGCGAGTATTAGGATCATATCCATCCAAGGTCCTTTCGTGTCTTATGAAATCCATTATTTTATGTTCACCTTCTCCAGGACACTGAAAGCAGCCTAACGGTCGAATCCATTTTCAAAAGGAACAAAAGCGAGAAAAAAAGATGACATTAAACATAAAATGCAACCATAAGAAAAGGAAGGTGAAAGTGAGAGAAAATAACCGACATCATGTCCTGACAGAAATACCCGAATTCCATGCCAAGCGGGATCCTTCTCAACCTTCTTTTCCAGCCATTTTGCAAGTTGCTCATGCAACTCTGCCATGAAAAGAGTACCTGGAAAGAAGTTGCTAATTAAAGTATAACTTGAATTGCCCCTCATGAATGCGAGCACTTATGAAACAAGAAAGCCCATAATAAATATATAAAATTATATACGTAATTATATATTATATATTATATTAGGTTGTTCCGAAAGTTTTGTCCGTTTTTTCAACCTATCATAAAAATACGTGGAACAAAGATAGGGAAACGCTCTAAGCACTATTCGACGCATCTTTTCCTTCTCTTTCTAATTGTCATGATTCCATGCCGATTGATCTTTTGTTCAGTGAGATAAACGCCGAAATTTCGAACCCATGGTTTTTACTATGTCCAAGTTTGACAATTTTTCACAATCTTCATTTTCAACTTTTGGAAGACCTTTGATAGCCCTCAGATAGAGTAAGCAAAGGGCAATGCAATGCAATTATTTGGCATATCTAGCTGGCTTTTCAATATTTTTAAAGATAATTTTTTCAGAAGTCTTCATTTTTGCGAAATTCTAAAATACAGAAACGCCTCGAACACTGATAAATCATCGAATTTTGAAGCTTTCAAAAACCGATTACGATTATTCACTATTTTTACGAAGCAAATGAGCGTTTACCGCTTCGAAATTTAAGATTTTGCATCTTACGTGTACACGCTGGGGTGGGGTCAAATTCAAGAATTATGGAAATTTTATCGCCAAAGACCCCGCAAATTGGGGAGAAAATACATTCACTGGAAAGAGGAGGAAAAGCTGCATCGAATAACACCTTAGTTGTGCGCCGTTTCATGATCTCTGCCTTTTGACATCACCAAAAGTGGAATTTTATAGCATCAGAAAAATAATTCTAAAAAATTTTCAAGGCTGGCTATAGAAGCCGCAAAATTGCATTATATTGCCCTTTGTTTGCTCTATATAACTGTTGCAAAAGCTTTTCCGAAAGTCAAAAATAAAGAATGTGAAAAATTGCCAAACTTGGACATAGTAAAAACCATGGGTTCGAAATTTCGGCGTTTATCTCACTGAACAAAAGACTAATCGGCATGGAACCATGACAGTTAGAAAGAGAAGGAAAAGATGCGTCGAATAGTGCTTAGAGCGTTTCCCTATCTTCATCCCACGCGTTTTTATGATAGGTTGAAAAAAACGGACCGAACTTTCGGGACAACCTAATATATACGTATATTTCTTGAGAGTAAGAGAACCAAAAATATAATAAAAAGCGCAAAAAGTTTCTTAGCCGGCTTCAAGTTCTAACTATTGAGTAATATCGAGCGGATGACAACTGGAGTGGAAAAAACCTTTCATGTTTCTCGCCCAATTTTTTCCACGGAACAGTTGTCCGATATTCGTTTTTCCCTAAAACTGCTCAAAGGGGTGTATTGGGTCATAAAGAGAAGAGCAATTCAGGAGCATGGGAAACTCCTATGGTTAATGTTTTGGTATTTCGTGCATAGTGCTGCCGAGATAGGCTCTTAAATCCGCTTCATTCATGGAGAAAGAAGTGACCTGCATACTAACCCGGGGTTATGCAGTTTGAATCGAAGCGCTTCTCCTTGGGGAGTTCCTCTCCTTTGCGAATATGCGCTTGAAGCTGTTCCTCAGCCGTGCGTGCAGACCTTAGAAAAAACCATCAGCTACCGATCTAGGTCTATTCCTGCAAAATAATGTCTCTGGCTCACATGAATCTTCTTGCGCGTTGCTGGTTCATTTTAGCTCTTGGAGCTACGCCGTCCACAGCCAAAAAGAAAACCTTTTTTGGACGTATGATGTTGAACAATTTCTGTATAAAAACACATCAAAGGTGTAAATAGAGCAAATGAAAAGATACATACGTCAATGTAAGCAAAAATATCCGCGAAAATTTGCTCCTGTGATATCCTGAACTTGAAATCATCGTCATTCGGATGGGAGCAGTTGTGTATTATTCCATTCATGTCCAGATATAAATTATCGAATTCCGGAATCTGTAGTGAGAAATTAGAGTGAATGTTCAACCAAGACGAGAAATTACCTCAGTATCACTGATAACCTCACTCAAACACGGATAGCGTTCGGAAATCCATCTGTAAAACTTAGGGACCCCCATATCTGAAATAGCAAATTTAGTGAGGATAAGCAATATTCCGCTGAATCCGCCATCAGAAGGATTTTAAAAAAATCACTCTTTCTCTGAATAGAAGACCAGCGCCCGCTTTGCTTCAGATTAACAGGTTTAAAAGAGCCTTCTAACGCGTTTAGGTAAACTATTAGGAATTCAGAAAAGAACGTGTTCGAGCTCGATGAACAACGCGTTTGAACATGTCTTTTCATGAGTCTCTAATAGTGATTTACCAAACGCATTGAAAGCCATTTTTAAACTTGTTAATGTGACGCAAAACGTGATCGTATCTCTTAGCCAGAGAATGAATGATATGTTATATATAGCAGACCTATAGGTTTCTGCTTAGCTGAAACTCGCCTCAAAACAGAAAACAGATAATCCTTCGGCGGAGAATTTGTGCCGTGACGAGGCCGTGTTGTGCATTTACAACACAACGAAATCCACGTCGCATCATTCTCGCACTCTGCCGTGCCGGCCAGAAGTTTGCAGCCATTAGGGATCGTTCATACTGCGCACAAAGGCGGACGAAGACGGACGAAGCCGGACAAAGGCGGACGAAGCCGGACAAAGCCGGACAAAGGCGGACGAAGGCGCGGTCTCGTCTCGTCTCGTTTCTCTCGACACGCACACACACTCACACGCGCCTTCGTCCGCCTTTGTCCGGCTTCGTCCGCCTTCGTCCGGCTTCGTCCGCCTTTGTCCGGCTTCGTCCGCCTTCCTCCGCCTTTGTGCGCGGTATGAACGATCCCTTAGATTGCAACCACTAGAAATGTATCTAGCCATATCTCGTTATCTTTGGTACACAATCACATACCATCGGCTCTCCGATTGCCACGAGGGCGAACTCGGGCGAGCATATTAGCGACGCGGTTGCCCTGTGTTGAAACATAGCTGATAAATTGATTATCGGTTGACCATCGCGACCGCTCTCGCAGCAATTCTGGCCCGATGGTCCTCGGTAACCGTTGCTGGTAACCTATGGCCGTTCCCTTAAAGGCAGTACATCGGCAGAATGAGACCCGCGACAAAACAAGGTCACAGGGTAGGAGCCCCCATATGGAACCTATCAGCCAAAGTCCGATCTTTCTCTGCCACTTCTAACTCCCGAAATTTCAGAGCGAAAGCAGCGCTCATCTCCTCTCCTCTCCGAACCCGCCCACCCCATGGACGAATGACTTCCGCGGTCAGAGCGCCAGCCGCAATGCTATAAGCATGAGGTCCCGCAACGACTCTGCGTCTTCGCCATGACGGGCTTCGCGTTCACTCGTCCATGTGGTGTTCGGGTTCGGAGAGGACAGGAGATGAGCGCTGCTTTCGCTTTGAAATTTCGGGGGTTAGAAGTGGCAGAGAAAGATCGGACTTTGGCCGATAGGCTCCATAGGGGGGCTCCTACCCTGTGACCTTGTTTTTTCACGGGTCTCATTCTGCCGATGTACTGCCTTTAAGGCACCGTCCATCCTAGATTAGGCGTCTTGAGCTTTTGGCAGGTTAGAATAGTAGGACCCTACATCAAGCCAATGCCCAAGTCGCGCGCAAAATGTCGCTTCGGAAGCGAGAAATTCGCCAGAATAGCGAAGAGGCTTGAGGGCCCCAGGTCAGCACCGCCCCCTCCAGTAATGCGCGCCCATTCAACCATCGTTTCGGAGAGCCGGCCGACGGGTTCTCTGGGACAGGGATTGTCGGGGTTTCGCGAATTGTCGACTTCGTATTTGGAATCAGGGACATGGGAAGGCCCCGGGCCAAAACGAGGAAGTCGAGAATCTGGATGAATGGCCTTCGTCATGACATTCAAATTTACTATATTATTATCATCATACTCTTTAATAAAGCGCAGCCCCCATCTGACGTCAATGTCGGTCTGTTCGTGCCACTTTTGCTTTGTTTACCCTATGCTCTATGATGCTCTATGTACCCCCCCCCCTCACCTGCACTTTAACACTGCCCTTTTTTTACAAGTGATCGTTGCCATTAGACTGTCTGTCTTCGGTTTTGTTTATCAAGGTTCCTCATCAGCCAAGAGCAGCCAAAAGCCACCACAACACTGTAAACGGTGAGATCGATTAGTCTCATCTCTGCTTCTACAAAACTCGCTTTATTCCAGCTATCAAAATTGGATTCAATATTCAAGTGCAACGACAGGTAAGGCATATTTCTTTTGTTGATAAACCCATTTCTCACAAACACATAAGCTATCTTCTATCGCCCTGTGATATCTTCCTTTCGTACTTCATCGTTCCTGTGATTATTTGTGACTTTCACATTGCTCTCAGAGCAATAAAATTCATGCCAGAGCGCACCATACATATGAAATCTCATTTCTATAAGAAATCTTTCATTTGTGTAAATATTGCATCAGATTCGACGCTTCGACAATAGCTTCAAAGTCTTTGCATTGGGAAAAACCGAATGAAATTTTTCTCGAAAACTGAAAATAAAAGTAATACATAAACAATTAATGCTGTCTCTTTTGAGAAGTTCACGCCTCAGACAGAAAAGATTTGAGAGGGCGACAGTTGATGCGAATTTTCATGACAAGAGACGATAAAATTCTTTTTCAAATTAGCAGTTTCTTTTGCGAGAATCGAAGAGAAAAATTTTGAGTTTTTTTGTAGGCGACTCCATTTCTGATGTAACCGCACAGAATTCTCTTTTTTCACAAAAAGGACTTTTTTGATTAGATCATTCCACATTTCCAAAAACGATCATCTTTTATCCGGTCATATTTTAACGACCTAAAGATTATGATATGTACATTCTGCGCCAACAGGGTTCAAGAATTCAGTCGCGTTAGCTTAACACCATCAAATCGATCGAAAAATGGGTTATTTTAGTTTACTAACCGCTGTCTCACACTATCTGCGATTGTGTCATCTGAATCTGGACGTTCTTAATGTTCCTGGACACATGAAATTTACAGTTGTTGCACAGTTCCATGAATCAGAAAGGAACGAGTAACCTTTTTTCTACTTCTAATGCGGTTGCAGTGGAAAACTTTTATTAGATTACTCACAAATTATTTCAAACGTAAAACTGACCTTTTTTGAGTAGAACATTTCACAGTTGTGCTCAAATATCATTTTCTTATTATATCCGTGAATACCCAAAGATTATGGTGCGAATGTTAGATGAAAGAGTTTGTCTAAAGGAGCTATCGCTTTAGTGCTCAAACTATTACGATCCGAAACACTGTTTATGTGAAACAAATAGACGGTGATTCTGAATCTCTGAAAAAAAAACTTCCAAGATGACAATTATTGTATTGATGCTCTCGATTTTGGGCACTCATCTGCAATCTGAATGTACGCTGTTTTTAAGCAAAATTTTATAAAATTCACAGTCGCTGAGCGTTTTTTAGAAATCAAAGCTTACGGTTATGATACGATTTGATGCCATTTCCACTTCCAATGTGTTCTCAAAACCACCTGTTATGATTGCTAGATATCGAAATTGAACCAATTTCCATAGCCTGCCTAGACTAAAGACTAGATCTTAACTCTAGACAATGATCGAAATTAGCAGTTTTAGGCAACTTCATTACATGCTCCGTGCCGGACTTTGTCAAGTGTGGTAGAGCAAGGAATTCAAGTCGATACTTTTATAAAGGACATATGGATTCGAATGAGGTTAGTAATGCTACAGAGTGATTTTAGCTATTATATACTATGTTCAGGCACTGCAATCATATAAGCAACCAAGCGTCAGCAGTGGCAGACAGTCGGACATGTATAAAACAACCCAATCAAACGTTGTTGAGTGGCCTTCCCACCATTTGGAGTCTCGCGTACGACCACAATCAGAAGAACAGCCAACCTGCTCTCAACGGCAACCGAATGAAAGTGTTCACGGACCACTGGAGGAAATTGAGGTACTATTATCGTATGCAGCCTTCTTGAGGACTCTAATAAGGTGTAGAATACGAGGTATTATAGTTGCCGCTTCAACCGTTATCAGGGAGATCTTTGCGGAAGCGGCCACTACTAGACATGGTGAGAATAGTTATTGAGAATGTTTGTTGGTATCTGTAGTAAAGAGCCAATGGAGACAGGCCGTAAAAAATAGGTCGATTTCAGGAAGAGCGGCAGCGAAAGAAAGCTGAACAAATGGCATTCAATAGACGTAATGAACCTGAAGATAAGCGTAAGAAGCGGTTAGCGGCCCAGGCCGAAAGATCCAGGTTGAGAAGAATGAAAGAGACCGAAGAGCGGAGACTGGAACGCCTCGCGAATGATACAGAAAGACGTAAATTAAGAAGATCAACCGAAACGGAAGAACAGCGATTATTGCGCTTGCGTTCATTGGCAGATGTTAGGAGAAAACAACGTGCACAAAACAACAACTTGCTCAAACAACATCATAGCAGTCAGGAAGAATTTGGTGCAAACTCAAGAGAAGTTCTGGAAGAAAATGTTACGGTTGGCTTACATTTCCTGGATTTTTTTTCGAAGTAAGGCAATGTTGTCAAGGGCAATCCTTCTGATGTTGCGCGTAATGATGCATTTGTTGCCTTCTCTACCCAAGAAGCAACACCTGAGGTATGATTTATAGCAAGCAGGCACTTGGGAAAGGGAAAGGAGATTTCAGGCTGATCCGCTGCAGCACTCGGGCACCCGTGATGCATTTTCTGGCCAACGATCAATGATAAACTTTAAGGATTTGATAAGTCAGGTACCATTGCTAGCATGACTCCATAACGTTCTCGAGAGGAGAATCAGAAGTAGTGCATAGCGTTCTTAAGGGCATAAATGTTCAGAGACTCAATACTTTCGAAGACGAGTTTCAACACAACGCATCTGTACCTCATTTGGATGAGAGTGCTTCCAGACCTTTGCCTTCCACGTCTGCCTACGTACCTTTGAAAGATCTAACAATACAGGTAGATCGAGTAGGAAGCAGAAAATTATCTGTCGTGGACTAAAGGGACTCTAAATTTCAGCCTCTACATGATGAATACGTACTACTCACTCCTGATCCTGCTTTGAGAGTACATTTGAATGGAGCAATTGAGAACAACCTAAATGCTTTGCCTCCTCAAAGCCTACCGCCCTGTGAGCATGAAAGCATGGATGAATACGAAATTATGGCGAGCCAAGTTTTATTTTTTTCAGTCAGTCATTCTCATGTGGAACATCACTCAAATATTCCATTCACTGTCTTACCAAGCACATCCACGGAGCTGTCTCCGACCCAGGTATGCTGATTTATGCGCAATTATAGTGCTCTGTGAAATCAAATTGATGAGTGAAATGTTTAGTTGAGTTCTGTACAAAACCCTGTACACCGCCGGCGATCGCCGCGCAATCTTGGTATAGCCTTGACGAATCATGACACGGAAGAGAACTACATGGGATCTATGAACACCAGCTGCAACCGCTGTGGTGCCCTTTTTTTCTCCAGCGAGGCCAAACCTAAAAACGGATGCTTTAATATCTGCTGTAATTTCGGCAACATCTCCTTAGATTTGTTCGCAAATTTCCCGGAACTTCTACGTTCATTCTACACTGGAACGAGCAAACTCTGCACAAATTTTCGCGAGCACATCCGGTCTTATAACAGCGCCCTTGCCATGGCTTCAATGGGTGCTCAAGTAGATACTCCTCGTGGTTCTGGGCCATACTGCTACAGAATTCACGGCCAGATCTATCACTATGTAGGCCCTCTGACGCCACCGGAAGGTGTTCGTCCACAGTTTGGACAAGTGTACATTCTGGACACAGACACCGCAGCAGCGGAAAGAAGTGGGAATCCGGCGAATGCACGTTGTGATACTACTGTAATGCAGCAGTTGACCTCATGGTTACATGCTAATAACAGTTATGCTGCTTCGCTCAAGATGATGGGAGATGTAGCTGCAGACGAAGAGCGACGCGCTCGTGAACATGGCAAACAATTACCAACAATTCGCCTTATCTTCGATGATTCTCCTAACCTGGACCGTCGCCGTTATAATGTACCAGCCGCAAACGAAATTGCCGTTGTTTACGTTGGCGAAGATGGTGATGTCCCATCGAAGCGCTCTCTTGCTATTCACCATAGAGGAGGAAACCTACAGAAAATACCAGACATCGACGGTCGTTGTGACCCTCTAACCTACCCTCTGTTATTTCCTAGGGGAGGATTAGGGTGGCATGTCGATTTGACCAAAAATCCAAGCGGTCGTATTCGCACGCGAATAAGTCAACGCGAGTTCTACTCATATTTGCTCGCCATACGCCAATCTTTTAACCCGCTTCACCACGCCGGAAAGCTCATGCAACAATTTGTGGTCGATGCGTACGTCAAAATTGAGCAAAATCGACTCAACTATACGCGTACACACCAGAAAGAGCTGCGAATTGACAGTTATAGGGGACTCGTGGATCATTTGACCAGCGATAACGTGGACGGACCACCAGGACGGCGAATCATTTTGCCATCATCGTTTCCAGGCAGTCCTCGCGCCATGCATCAGTCTTACCAAGATGCCATGTCTATAGTTGCAAGGTACGGAAAACCCGACTACTTTCTTACATTTACGTGCAACCCAAAATGGAGAGAGATAACTGAGAACTTACATCCTGGCCAGACCGCTTCTGATCGTCCAGATTTGGTGACACGGGTGTTCAAACGGAAGCTGGACGTCCTTCAAACTCACCTTTTTGAAAAAAACATCTTGGGCTGTGTTGCTGCTTATGTCGGGATCGTAGAATGGCAAAAAAGAGGTCTTCCCCATTGCCATATGCTGCTTATAATGACTGCAGATGCAAAACCGAGGACTTGCGAGGCTGCTGATGCAGCTGTTCAGGCTTACCTTCCAAGCGCATCTGAGAATGCCCGCCTTTACAGCATAGTCGCGAGGAACATGATTCATCGACGATGTGGTATAGACAACCCAACTGCTTCCTGCATGGTAAATGGAGTATGCTCTAAGCGATACCCCAAGGATTTCAGAGAAACTACTGACATTGAAGTGGACGGCTATCCCAAGTACAAAAGACCAAATGACGGTTGTAGCATAACGGCTAGAGACCAAACCTTTGACAACAGAGACGTAGTGCCTTATAATCGCTACCTGTTGCTGCTGCTTAATGCACACATAAACTTGGAAATCTGTGGTTATGTGCAAGCAGTCAAGTACTTATACAAGTATGTCTACAAGGGACCAGACAGAGCATCACTGCGACTGCTGCAACAAGATCACCCACAGTGCTCCGACGAGATTCGAGCTCATCTTGATGCTCGCTATGTATGCTCGCCAGAGGCCCTGCACCATATTTTTATGTATGACAGTCAGTTTAAATCCGATACTGTCTATCGTCTGGCCGTTCACCTTCCTGACTTTCAAACGGTGACATTTCAATCAGGTGAAGAACGTGAAGCAGCAATCCGAGAGGCGGCTAGAGATTCTATGTTAACGGCATGGTTCAAACTAAACAACGAGTATGAGGTCTTGGAGAACGAGAGTGGATCATCAAATGCAGAGATTGATCCACGCAATCTTTTCTACCACCAGTTGCCCGAGCATTTCACATTCGTACGAGCCACACGAAAGTGGAAGAAAAGGGGTAGAGGTGATCGCCAAATTGGTCGCATGCATATCGTCCCTCCAACCGAACCTGAAAGGTTTAGCCTACGCATGCTGCTCCTTCATCGAAAAAACATGCGCTCTTTCGAAGATCTCCGAACTGTTGAGGGGTATGCGCACCCAACATTCCTGGATGCTGTTCGTGCTCTGGGTTTACTTCATGACGACTCGCACTATGAAAGCTGCTTAGAAGAAGCTGCTGCATTTCAGATGCCTGCGGAGTTGCGTGCATTATTCAGTTGCTTGCTTGCATTCTGTGAAATCAATGATCCGAGGCATTTATATGACCGTTTCAAAAGCGAGATGGCTGAAGATTTCATCCACAGATGAGCTACTCCATCTGATGCAGAAGCGCTCGCTTATTTCGATGTTTACGACAGACTGCAAATCATGCGCTACGACCTGGCCGAAACGGTCAAACCACCTGCACAGAATCGGCCAGTGTTGGCAGATCAGACCGATTACTCCTCTCACGAGCAGAAAGGCCGAGCGATGTACCAATGTCTGAATGCTTTACAGAAATCAACAGCAGACAGCATTTTGGCCTCCTTCAACTCCAGTCGGTCCAAGCTTCACTTCGTCGATGGTCCTGGAGGTAGTGGAAAAACTTATCTGTACAATACCGTGTATCACATATTGAAGAGTCAGCACAGGTCTGTCATATGTGTAGCATGGACAGGTGTGGCCGCGAATTTGCTGCCCGAGGGAAGAACAGCTGTCTCTACTTTCAAACTGAATGTGAGAGGAGGAAACCGGGAATGTACCTTACGTCGTGAGGCTAAAGAAGCCACTCCGCTCAAGGAAGCAGATGTCATTATTTGGGATGAAGTGAGCATGGTTCCAAATTACTCCCTTGAGGCAGTCGATCGTCTGTTTCAGGATCTGATGTGCAATGACAAGCCTTTTGGCGGCAAAATAGTTGTCTTAGGTGGTGACTTCCGACAAGTGCTTCCAATAATAGAGCGCGGTAGTGAAAGCGACATGACTGACGCATGCTTGAAAAACAGTCTTCTTTGGAGATCATTCCGCAAGCATACGCTTTCAACGAACATAAGAGCTGCAGATTCCGGCTCCTCATGGTGTGATTTTTTGCTAAGCGTTGGAAATGGAGAGGCAGAAGAAGATGAAATGGGCCGGATCCAACTTCCCTCTGAAATAGTATCCAACGGTAACCTCATTGATGAGGTTTTCGGCGATTTGCTAACCGACTTCGACACCTTGAGTGAGCGCGCGATACTCGCTCCACGCAATATTGAAGTTGATCGAATTAATGAAGAAGTACTGAGTAAGCTTCCTGGGCAAGTTCATGAGTACAAGAGTGCTGATGATGTGATCAGTGATAATGTGCAAGCAAATGAATACACTCCGGAATTCCTGAACAGTATGACACCGGCTGGATTTCCTCCACACAATCTGAGAATGAAAGAAGGTTCAATCATCATGCTATTGAGAAATCTTAATGTTCGAAATGGGCTATGCAATGGGACAAGGTTAATCGTCACGCACTTCGGACGTTTTATCTTGGGATGTCGGTTCGCATCCGGAGATCGGAAAGGAAAGTTTACCTTGATTCCTCGCATAGACAACTATAACGACACAGCAATTCCTTTCCGACTACGAAGGACGCAATTCCCCGTTCGCTTATCCTTCGCGATGACGATAAATAAGGCTCAAGGACAGAGTTTGACTCGCGTAGGCATCTACCTTGGAACGGAAGTGTTCTCACATGGACAACTTTATGTTGCACTATCTAGGTCTAGAACAAAGGATGGAGTTAAAGTGCACAAGAAGGAAGAGAGGGTAAAGAACGTAGTGATAAGAGCAGTCCTCAATTAGCAAAAATGGAGAAGAACGGCACACAGCCATGCGAAAGAATGATGACAGCTCACGAAAAGCTGAGATGGAATCATAGCAAGGAAGCTGAGTCGTAGATTTAGATCAGAACGCACCGTGCTTTTTTGAACTTTTTTCACTTTTCTAAAATTCTTGAAAATAAGATCTCATAATTATCTTCGTTCGCAGCTCAGACTTATGCGCATAAATAAGCCTATCCTCTCTTTTCATGCCTTTCATGCCTGACGACAGCAATGAATAATTTCTACTTCACTTGAATTCAGAGTTCAACGCAGCTGACACTTTACATGTCTCCATGTTCAAATCTCATGTCGTATCTTTAATTTTCGTATAGTTTGAAGTATTAATGCTCATCTCCCTGTTTATTTAGTGCTCATCCTGTTCTGCACATGAATTTTGATTTGTGATTTTTGAACTTCATTTGAATCTAAAATTTATCAACGTCGATCGTATTCGTTGCTACAGTTCAATTTTACTTTTTTCTAATGTGGTAGCTGTTAAGAGGCGCGCGTATAAGGCTAAAGCCATTTTGATTTCACATAATTTAAGTGGCGCGCGTATAAGGCTAAAGCCATTTTGATTTCACATAATTTAAGGCCCGTATGCACGTACATCCCCGCGGGGAGGGGATGTGCGCTTAACCATTGAAATGATCCCCGCTGGGGATCCCCTTCCCTCCCCGCGCGAACCCCCTTATGCATAAAGACAATATCGGACAAGGGATCCCCTGTGGGGAGTGGAAGTGAACCCTCTTATGCACAAGAGGGGATCAA